CAACAATGTCTCGGCAGACTATAATCAGTAAACTGACAACAATGTCACAGCAGACTCTTTTCAGTTAATTGTCAACAATGTCACGGCAGACTATAATCAGTAAACTGACAACAATGTCACAGCAGACTCTAGTCAGTAAACTGACAGCAATTTCACAGCAGACTCTTATCAGTAAACTGACAACAATGTCACAGCAGACTCTTTTCAGTTAATTGTCAACAATGTCTCGGCAGACTATAATCAGTAAACTGACAACAGTGTCACAGCAGACTCTTTTCAGTTAATTGTCAACAATGTCACGGCAGACTATAATCAGTAAACTGACAACAATGTCACAGCAGACTCTAGTCAGTAAACTGACAGCAATTTCACAGCAGACAACAATCGTAAACTGACAACAATGTCAAGGAAGACTACAATCAGTAAACCGTCAACAATGTCACACCAGACTACAATCGTAAACTGACAACAATGTCACAGCAGACTATGACCAGTAAACCGACAACAATGTCACAGCAGACTCTAATCAGTAAACTGACAACAAATTCACAGCAGACTACAATCGTAAACTGACAACAATGTCACAGCAGACTACAATCGTAAACTGACAATGTCACAGCAGACTATAATCAGTAAACCGACAACAATGTCACAGCAGACTACAATCAGTAAACTGACAACAATGTCACACCAGACTACAATAAGTAAACCGACAACAATGTCACAGCAGACTACAATCGTAAACTGACAACAATGTCACAGCAGACTCTAATCAGTTAACTGACAACAATGTCATAGCAGACTCTAATCAGTAAATTGGCACAATGTCACATCAGACTACAATCAGTAAACTGACAACAATTTCACAGCAGACTACAATCGTAAACTGACAACAATGTCACAGCAGACTACAATCGTAAACTAACAACAATGTCACAGCGGCCTATAACCAGTAAACTGACAACAATGTCACAGCAGACTCTAACCAGTAAACCGACAACAATGTCACAGCAGATTATAATCAGTAAACCGTCAACAATGTCACACCAGACTACAATCGTAAACTGACAATGTCACAGCAGACTATAATCAGTAAACTGACAACAATGTCACAGCCGACTCTAATCAGCAAACTGACAACAATGTCAAAGCAGACTCTAATCAGTAAACTAACAACAATGTCACATTAGACTATAATCAGTAAACTGACAACAATATCACAGCAGACTACAATAGTAAACTGACAACAATGTCACAGCAGACTACAATCGTAAACTGACAACAATGTCACAGCAGACTATAACGAGTAAACCGACAACAATGTCACAGCAGACTCTAATCAGTAAACTGACAACAATTTCACAGCCGACTACAATAGTAAACTGACAACAATGTCAAGGAAGACTACAATCAGTTAACCGTCAACAATGTCACAGCAGACTACAATCGTAAACTGACAATGTGACAGCAGACTCTAATCAGTAAACTGACAACAATTTCACAGCCGACTACAATCGTAAACTGACAACAATGTCAAGGAAGACTACAATCAGTAAACCGACAACAATGTCACACCAGACTACAATCGTAAACTGACAACAATGTCACACCAGACTACAATCGTAAACTGACAATGTCACAGCAGACTACAATCAGTAAACCGTCAACACTGTCACAGCAGACTATAATCAGTAATCTGACAACAATGTCAAGGAAGATAGCCTGCAAATACTCATCCTGGATCTGGCAGATCAACGGTAGGTAGCAAGAGGGGCATCTACGTGCGTATTTGACACCCCCGGGGTCGATTCCTAACAGTCATCAGCGACGAATGTCTTATAGCATATGGTTAGTCAACAGACAGCCGACAGGCGACTCAGGCCCATGGAATTAGGGCTTAAAGATCTTACAGGGGATAAATATTCATAGTGCAATATCTCTGTACGAGATTGAGACGGACCCAGAGTGTACGTCGTTGGCAGCGACGTGACTGGCAGAGGGTCGATGAAATCAGGTTTTGTCTGTTCAGAGCTTATGGAAGAAAGAGTGTTTACCGCCGAAGGGGAGATCGGACGGCGGCTTGTTGCATTCAGGAGGTCGTGTCATATAGTGGATGGGGTGCTATGGCGTGATGAGCTATTTGTGGGCACCACTGGTCATCATTAATGGAAATGTGACAGCTCAGCATTACATGGATGACATTCTTCGTCTGACTGTCCTACCGTTTCTACAACAGCTGTCACGTTGTGTCCTTTAACAGCATGACAACACCAGGCCCGAATCGTACAGACCTTCCTTGCAGCCAACACGCTCCCCAGACATGGAACACCTTTGGGATGTCATGGATCGTAGTGTTCGACAGCGACCACATCCTCCAGCCAACCGACAAGAACTGATCCAACCCCTCCAAGAAGAATGGCGACGTATCCCATCAGACGTCATCAGGCGACTGATTTTTTCTGTGGCGGAGAGTTTTTACGCTCTGTAGGAAAACAGTTTGTTACATTTCTGAACATAAGTTCGATTCATATTAAAAGCAAGGGTATTACAATTCATATGCAAAACCTCTCAGCTGGTCTCACTTATAACGTAGTACCTCCCACAAGGTTACTATGAGATAGCAAGATACCTACAATACCATTAGCATATGTAGCAGTAGTTTTAAAAGCAGACAGAAAAGTCCTTGTTTTCCGATAGATTTCTCGTCAGCATGTTTTCTGCCACTCATATTTATCAGAAATGAAGTTGCAATAAATACTGCCACACACCACTCACCCCCAAACGTCTCAGGCCTGCATCACTTCGGGCTTTCCTCCCACATTAACCTGATAAAACTGGAATACTGTTCAAATCGGCATTAAATCGAACTAACTCACTCACTTAGTACAGTGGTGAATGGGTTCGAGGTATTTATCATAATAGAATGTGGATATAAATAACTGCTCTCCATTGTCGAGGATGGGTAAATGAATTGAATTGTTAGGTTAAAATATAGAACTATATATACATCATGTCAATATGTCTCCCTGTGGGAGATCCAATGCCCACAGTGCCTAGTGAGTGCAGTCCTGGCCGACTTAATGTGTCTCCCTGTGGGAGATCCAATGCCCACAGTGCCTAGTGAGTGCAGTCCTGGCCGACTTAATGTGTCTCCCTGTGGGAGATCCAATGCCCACAGTGCCTAGTGAGTGCAGTCCTGGCCGACTTAATGTGTCTCCCTGTGGGAGATCCAATGCCCACAGTGCCTAGTGAGTGCAGTCCTGGCCGACTTAATGTGTCTCCATGTGGAAGATCCAATGCCCACAGTGCCTAGTGAGTGCAGTCCTGGCCGACTTAATGTGTCTCCCTGTGGGAGATCCAATGCCCACAGTGCCTAGTGAGTGCAGTCCTGGCCGACTTAATATGTCTCCCTGTGGGAGATCCAATGCCCACAGTGCCTAGTGAGTGCAGTCCTGGCCGACTAAATGTGTCTCCCTGTGGGAGTTCCAATGCCCACAGTGCCTAGTGAGTGCAGTCCTGGCCGACTTAATGTGTCTCCCTGTGGGAGTTCCAATGCCCACAGTGCCTAGTGAGTGCAGTCCTGGCCGACTTAATGTGTCTCCCTGTGGGAGTTCCAATGCCCACAGTGCCTAGTGAGTGCAGTCCTTGCCGACTTAATATTTCTCCCTGTGGGAGATCCAATACCCACAGTGCCTAGTGAGTGCAGTCCTGGCCGACTTAATGTGTCTCCCTGTGGGAGATCCAATGCCCACAGTGCCTAGTGAGTGCAGTCCTGGCCGACTTAATGAGGATCCACGTGGTAACACATGTGTCACCTGGCTGATCGAGCGTCATCTGGTGCAGACTCAATTACAGGCGAACCCCGTTATCTCGAACTTAGCGCGAACCCAGATCCAACCCTCTAAAAATTCCATGGCGTGTGTCATTTCTTAGATTTGGTCTCGTATTATCGCAAATATGTACAAACCTCTCGGGCATCGCCTCACCTCTGTACAACCTCTATATAACCTCCTTTCGAATGGTCCAACAATTGAAAAGGGCTTTCGAAAAGCTAACGCAAGCCCTTACAACAGCCCCCATCCTTGCATATCCCGACTAAAACAAACCCGTCATCCTCGCAACTGATGCATCTCAAACTGCAATAGGTTACATTGTAGGTCAACTTGATTCTCATGGCTTAACTTGGATTGATATCGTTAATTCATGTCTTTTGACCATACAAGAAGCTTCCTGTTCTGTTTTTAGGAACAAACAATGTTGATTGGTAGCATTTTTCTTGGTCTTCCATAAGTAAGGATATATGATGCTAAATGGTTATTTCCCATCACAGTCAACAACTGTTATGGCAGCTTGAAAGGAAGATTTGAAATGATTATTAATAAATAAGGTTACAGGCATATTGTCTCTCTGACAAAGTTATGACTTTTTATTGAGGCTGAGGTTTTTATATTTACACAAAATTATGATCCGGGTACCCATTCAATGCTGGGTGAACAGATGCACATTTGAAGTGTCACGTGCACAGGTAGCCAACCACACGTGTCGACAGTTGTGTTTCGGGTGAATGAACGTATTAGTGTATCCACCATCTGGTCATCAACCATCGGGTTCTTCTGAGTGCACTGGAACCACGGTGAATGTATTGTACAGAACGGGTAGTGACAAAACTGTAGAGACCAATTGAGAGCTTAACCGTATGTATTACTTTTACATGACCCATTTTCCCTCACAACGCCAGTCGCCCAACCAATGAATGACTGTCCAAACTAAGGCATGCCCGGCACCGCTTCGCCAACAGCACTTCCCCCAATCTCAAGTTGATTCGTGTATGTCGTCAAAAGAAAGCTCCTATGGGCGTGTGTTTATTCGAATAGGACTGCCCAGCAGCATGCTATGTCGAAGGCCAGACTAAGTACTGCCAACACAGTGCTGGTCATCTACGCATTGTTTACTACCTAAACACCACTGTTTATTTTTGGGTATTTCGAATACAAGCAGCCAAAGCTGGTTGATGTTCTGTAAAGGCAACTATGGAAACGCCAAACAAATAGGATGCCACTTCTGTATAAAGATCCAGCGGTTCCCGACACAAGATCACTCCGCTCCGACACTGATCCAGAACTGATCCAACCACCAGCCACAATGACCATGAAGTGTGTTCTTCTTGCTGTTTGCGCACTGGGTAAGTTAATTCTACCTGTATACAGTTTTCAAGATGGCTGCCTGCCCGCTTGCACAATGCCAGTGACATTTAGATTGGGCTGGTAACATTTTCGTAAAGCTGCCCGACTGTCAAGTTGAAACTGTAGCCAATACATATTTATTTCTAAAGTCAGTTGAGGCGGTTTTTAATGTCACTTTGTTTTCAGTTCATTGTTTATCGCTTTTGAGCTTGTTAAATATTATAAGGACTTGCAAAAATTTTTGTTATCAAATTCTTCTAGCCAGTGAACATTGAAAACTAATTCATACAATGCATGTATATATGTGTGATTCTTTAATTCCCTTTGGTGTTTACTTAGGAGACAATCACTGTATGTACCCCGAGCCGGTTGGCATTGGTAAAAAGTTCCGCATTTCCAAGAGGGTATTTTGAATTTGTACCTTTCTATCAGTGGGCTATTTAGGGGAAATGCGCCGTTAGGAACAAGACAGAAACGAGTATCTCAATGCAAGGGATGATGAAATAGCACAACGAGTAGTTAATGTTATATAATCTATCAAATTATGTATCGTCTTTAGCAATATTCCATATTTCTCTTTGTTTAGTATCTTCACGGTTTGGGTTAATATCTAAACATATTACATTAAAAAGACTTCACAACAGATCGGGAATAAAATGACATTCGTGTAAACAAAGTTAGGCACAACCCTTAGGGGCCCTGTTCCATATCATAGATCTTCTTTTTGACATAACTGTAGGAATAGGTGATTTTCGGTCTCTTTTAGGGCAAGGTCATAGATCAGATACATACATGTTTGTGAACATAGAATACAATATAACGTGACAGGTTAAATACAGGGGTTTGCAATAATCACATAATCTGCAATAATGTCCATGGTGCAATGCTATGGATTTATTATTTATCATTTATGGGGGCATTTGTCAAAGATATCGGTTGTCTGAGCGACGTTTTGGAAATGTGCTAATGTTTGTCGTTTTTTAATATTTTCTAGCTGTACTTGTCACCTACTGCCATGCTGCTTGTGTCAGTGCTCCTGAGTGTGGTGCCAGTACCACCTGCGCGTAAGTTGCAATTTTAATTTTCATGATTGGAATCAATGGTTGTCGGAATCGTCTTCGTCCCCAATACCTGTTTTATGTGTTATCTTATTTGACAAAATTGCTTGTGTCACAATCGAAGAAGGGGGATATGGTTGGCACAGTCGTCTAAGGCGCCGGAATTTGTAGTGCAGAGTTGCAAGCCATAAACCTACGATCATGGGTTCGAATCCGGTCCGCTCTGATTGTTTTTAGTTCCTCAGCACTTTACGTCTGAGACCTGCATCATTCCGGGTTTTCCTCCCACATCTTCCCTAGGCAAGGACGTTAACTGAATATAAATGTCCAGTTTCCACCCTTGCATATCTTCCCGAGGCAAAAAAGTCCGCTAGCCATTTTATCAAAGTCGTGTGTCCACCCTTGCCACGTCAAGCCAACTTCCCTGTGTTAAATAGGATTGGATTAGCGTACATATCGATAGTCCAATCAGAGAACGTTTTGCACAAAATCAACATCCACGACTGGTACATATTTGTACGAAAGTGATGTAACACTGCCTGCCTTTGCTCACATGTCTGTTTCATCTTCCAACCCTTCAACGATTGCCTGTGTCTGTATATTAGGGATGAAATCGCGAATGTTTTCGTTATCTGATCGACTAGGTGGTCGCCTTTGGTAGTCGCTATCTTTGTGAAGCCTTTCGAGATAAGAACAGCGATTTGATTGGATAACGCGCTTTCATTACAAAGGGCACATCTCGGATCGAGACATAAAAAGTAGCTTTGATGTGGTGTAGAACCTAAGATTTAATATAGGCCATGGGACACGCTTGCCTCGGGAAGATGACGCTTGCTTAACTAGGCTGGAATCCGGAGTTACGTTGTGACTGGTCTAACGATTCTATGCAAAGTCCAATCAAAATCGCTCAACGAACTAGACACCCGGTTTTTAAACAACGATTTTCACGTGTAGATTTCGGGATTTTTAAAGCATGTATAACGCAAACTGGGCCTCGACAGATATTTTCCTAATCTTTTCAAATTTTTAATCAAGGTGCTCAAGTGATTTGATGCACATCGCGAGGCAAGGCCCGTTTAATTACAATACCGATCTTGATAATCGGTCAAATCGTCATGGCAGGGCATGGCCATTGGTTTGAAGCAATTGCAAGTGATGTGAGAGGTGGAATCTGATAGGTCAATGGGAGAGACATAGAAGGGAAATAATTCGTGATAACCACTGGTGGCGCTACGATCGAGCCTACAAAGTCCATCATAGTTCAGCAAAGGTGGAAACTGGACATTTATAAGGAAGGGAATCTATTGGTGTCAACTTCTTTATTATGGGGAACACAACGTTTCAGAGTACATCAGTTCTCCTTCATCGGGTAAATTAAGGCTATGAGGCAGACAGCATATATATGTGAGAACAACAAAAGTTATAAGATAACTAAAGGTAGAAACTTAACAAGGAAACCAACAGATCAAGAACGCCTCATCAAGAACAAAGACATCATAGATGTCAGCTTTTTAAGCGGCAAGTCCATCAAGACCCATCTACAAGCCAATTGCAGAGGCACAAGTAGTGTAAGTCTCAACCGCTGAGGATGTATATACCAGATCCCCTGCAACTGTGGCCATCAGTACATTGGAGACACCTTCAGACCCCTCAGCAGCAGACTCAAAGAACATCAGACCTCTGTCAACAAACTAGACCTGAAATCCGCCATTTCCGAACACGTCCTCAAGAACCAGGACCGTAACTTCATGTGGGATGCCACAAAACTCCTGTCTACCAACACCGACAACTTGCGACAAAGAAACCTACAAAAACTCATTGACATCAGAAGACACCAGCCAGCCATGAACCGTGACCAGGGAACATATCTGCCTGGTGCTTGGCGCTTATTGCTTTGAACTTTCTCAGTGCCAATTATCTAGCTCGCTTCCATTTACCCATTGTTATTTTTATTCCTTAACCTATCCGTGCTATTACCCTCGTCCTCCCGTTTGCCCACTGTCCATTGCCATTTACCCATCAGTGATATTTAAGTCCTGGCTTCTAGTTGTCCATAACAATTAGCGCTAATTACTGTAAAGTCTTGGCTTCTGTTGTCTTTTTCTATCGGCGCCAATTATCTGTTGGTTTCCCTTGTTAAGTTTCTCCTTTCGTTATCTTCTTACTTTTGTTGTTCTTACATGTATATATGTATGCTCTCTGCGTCATATCTTTCATTCGCCTGATGAAGGAGTAAGCTTATACTCCAAACCTTGTGTTCCTCATAATAAAGAAGTTGACATCCATAAATTCTCTTCCTTATGTGTATCACTTCTAAATGCCTTTCAAAGACTGGACATTTATAGTCAGTTGACTCCATTTCCCCGGGCAGATAGCTGACACGCCGCTGAACTATTGTTAAAAGTGGCGTTAAACCCAACTCACTCACTCCAGCAAGAAAGCAAATGGGAACAATAAAGACTATGCATTGTTGGTATTTGTAGAAGATGTAAACATTTCTATATGGATATTTACAGGCCGCCGTCTTATGACAGGCAACAAACAAACACTTATTTTTAAGACGAATGGTGTGAGGGGCGGGTGCTACCGGTGGGGCAGGGCATGCACACCTGGTGTCGTCACTGATTTCCAGCGATCCATTCGTAGCATTTTTCACCGCTATGTTTGCCTTTTACACCCAGTGAAATCTGTTTGGGCAGATAACCAAGACTATCTGCCCTCTGGCATTCTACGAGAAGTTGCAGATGTGTTGTTTCAATCGTTATGTCACCGCTATCGTAATTCTATGTAAAGGTTTTAGGAACCTGAACAACGAACATTTGTCTGTGCCTGATTTATGGTATTTAACGTCGCATCATGAATGTTGTACTAATTATGCATTGTGAGTAACGAAGGCAAAACAACAGTTATGTGGCATGGAAGTATATGGCATCATCTCGTTTATTGTGTAACAGACAATTTAAGAAGTACTCGCTGTTGTTCTTCCAGGGAGGCTCTCACCTTCAAGACATGTGTTCTAACTGAGTACAACAAGTGCGCAACGGACGGCACAGAAGATGCAGCTAGACTTACTCTCTATGGCGTTTACGAACCCGCCTCTGTCACCTACAGCGCTGTGTGTGGTACGTATATTAACTTTCAGAATCGAGAATTGCACCCCGAACCACAGTCACCCCCATCACATCAAACCTGTGTTATGTCGAAGATAACTTCACACTAAAGCATGCTCATATTTAACTTTATATCTCCTTATTCACGTCTCCATCGGACCGTCTATCTGGTCATAGTCATCTTTCTATCTGTTTATAGTCACCCTTCTCTCTGTTCATAGTTACCCTTTCAACAGTTCCTATTTACCCCTTTATCGATTCATATTCATCACTCTACGTGTTCATAACAGACCATGTATTTGTTTGTATTCACCTTTCTATCTGTCTAATAATATTCAACCTTCTTTTTATTCATATTCACTGTACCATCGGTTCTTGTTCACTATCCTATCAGTTCATACTTACATCATTATCGGTGCGTTTTCACCCTCTGTTTGTTCATATTCACTCTTCTATCTGTTCAAACTCACCATTCTTAAACATGGTGTCGCATCAGGACTTTCCCGATTGTGCCACTTCGGAACATTCTCCATTGTGTCACATCGGGGCTTTCCCGATTGTGCCACGTCGGGAATCCAATCCTTAATTACAATAGCACTAACGAAAAAGGTAAACATCGTAAGGATTAAGACCGCCCCAGTGGTCTAGTGGTAGAGCGTCCGCCAGGAGAGCAGAAGGTCGATGCCCGCTTGAGTCATACCAAAGATGTTGAAAGATGGTACTTGTTGTTATCCTGCCTGGCGCTCGGCATCAAGGGGCTAAAACAAGGACTGGTCGGGTTGGGATATTCATGTTAAACTGCACTGTGGTATGTCAGCGGCCCAGCACTGTAAAATCGGCATTAGTCCGGACTAGTACAAGCAGCCATACACACGCTGCAATAATCATGGACGTGACGTTAAACCACTTTCACCTCACCTCAGCTTGTAAGCATTTATATTATTTAAAAAAACTTGCTGTTTTTTTCCAGGTGCTGAGGCTATTGCTTTCTCAGTGGTGACTGGAGTCATCGCGGTCATCGCCTCCTTCATGTTTTCTAAGTGAACACCCTCCCCCTCCTTCCCCTCCTCCACCGACAACGTCCTCCCTTCCTCCACCAACAATGTCCTGCCCTCCTCATCACGTCAAACATGCAATGACTGATGCCCGAGCATTGGAGTCCAGTGTGTCTGTGGCATCATGAACATGTGTCGTGGATTTATGTTAATAAATCAACCGATCGCACCATGTAGTTGTTGTTGTGTCGCCCCTACCATGTACGCATGTAGACACCTTAAACATACAGTGTGCTTAAGTGTCCTAAACACGTGTGGTTGGAGCGAATGTGACCACCGTAACTATACACACTGCTCGACTGGATCTCGCAGGTCTTTGAGGCATCGTGTAAGTAGCGCCATGTTTTCAACAATAGTTGTGAGTTAACTAGTAAACATTGTTTACACCGGTACATATTGATATTTGTCTATATAACATAACAGGATAAGCTGTCAGGGTTTGAGCAAAGGGAATAGTAAACACTTCCTTGTAGTCAGCAGTATGACAACAATGTCACGGCAGACTATAATGTCAGCAGTATGACAACAATGTCACGGCACCTTGTAGTCAGCAGTATGACAACAATGTCACGGCAGACTTTAATCAGTGAACTGACAACAATGTCACGGCACCTTGTAGTCAGTAGTATGACAACAATGTCACGGCAGACTATAATGTCAGCAGTATGACAACAACGCCACGGCACCTTGTAGTCAGTAGTATGACAACAATGTCAAGGCAGACTATAATGTCAGCAGGAAGACAACAATGCCACGGCACCTTGTAGTCAGCAGTATGACAACAATGTCACGGCAGACTTTAATGTCAGCAGTATGACAACAATGTCACGGCACCTTGTAGTCAGTAGTATGACAACAATGTCACGGCAGACTACAATGTCAGCAGTATGACAACAATGTCACGGCACCTTGTAGTCAGTAGTATGACAACAATGTCACGGCAGACTATAATGTCAGCAGTATGACAGCAATGCCACGGCACCTTGTAGTCAGCAGTATGACAACAATGTCACGGCAGACTTTAATCAGTGAACTGACAACAATGTCACGGCACCTTGTAGTCAGCAGTATGACAACAATGTCACGACAGACTATAATGTCAGCAGTATGACAACAATGCCACGACACCTTTTAGTCAGCAGTATGACAACAATGTCACGGCAGACTATAATTTCAGTGAACTGACAAGAATGCCACGGCACCTTGTAGTCAGTAGTATGACAACAATGTCACGGCAGACTATAATGTCAGCAGTATGACAACAATGTCACGGCACCTTGTAGTCAGCAGTATGACAACAATGTCACGGCAGACTATAATGTCAGCAGTATGACAACAATGTCACGGCACCTTGTAGTCAGTAGTATGACAACAATGTCACGGCAGACTATAATGTCAGCAGTATGACAACAATGCCACGGCACCTTGTAGTCAGCAGTATGACAACAATGTCACGGCAGACTTTAATGTCAGCAGTATGACAACAATGTCACGGCAGACTATAATGTCAGCAGTATGACAACAATGCCACGGCACCTTGTAGTCAGTAGTATGACAACAATGTCACGGCAGACTATAATTTCAGTGAACTGACAACAATGCCACGGACCTTGTAGTCAGTAGTATGACAACAATGTCACGGCAGACTATAATTTCAGTGAACTGACAACAATGTCACAACACCTTGTAGTCAGTAGTATGACAACAATGTCATGGCAGAGTAGTATAAACACGACAACTGTAGTCAATAATACCCAGCTACGCCACAGTGGTGAAAATTAAGCCTAAGGATAGCGATGTCAAGATAGCCTGCATAAACTCACCCTGGATCGGGCAACCAAGTGGTAAATAAAAAGAGAGAAAGCAGCAATCCACAACCAGACAGGCCATACGGCGTTACCACCTGTGCCTCGTAATACCAGCATCTCGACATGTTGTGCTCCAGAATCCATAAGGGATCGAGCACAGAACACGTTATCGATATAGCGACTGGTGTAAACGGTTCAGATTGATCTTTAATTTTGTGGTTTTACTCTAGAGATTATACAATATCGTCGGGGGGTCTGTAGAATATACTAAGTTATTTATTGGCAAGATATTGGGACAATATAACAAAAATGCCACCACGGAAACAAATAACGTGTGCACAGGTGAAGAGAGTAATATGAGTTTCAAAAAATCAATTTGTGGGTTGACGAGTTTGTCTTTCCTATTTTGTTTGCTCATAAAGATCAGTTAGTACAGTAGTCAGCTTAGCTTAAATGTCCTACAGTTACGGTAGTAAGTGGATTGACGTCCAAAAGAAACTTTACCACTCAAAAAAGTTAAAGTGCAGAAATGAAAAAAACACGTGTTCAAACCAAATCAATGCAAAACACATCGTCCAAACACAACAATGCTCTATGCAGATAAGTGATAAACGTCCACGACACGTGTTTTGTCTTTTTTTAGGGGCGGTCGGGTAGCCTAGTGGTTGACGCGTTCGCTCGTCACGCCGAAAACCTAGGTTCGAATCCCGACATGGGTACAATGTGTCAAACCCATTTCTGGTGTCCCCGCCGTGATATTGCTGGAATATTGCTTAAAGCGGCGTTAAACCACTAACCCACTTTTTAAGAAAATGCGAAATAGTGAAAAACACGTGCCGTTTGGGTAGTCGAAACCACACGTGCAATGAGGGTATATAAATGATACGGACGGCATGTGAGACACTCACGCTGATTAAAAACAAAATCACAGAAATTCTACGGCAGACATCCGAACAACACGAGCGAGCCCTTGGTATGGTATGACACAGATAGGAGCCACCCATGCCCTCATTTCCAGAACTTTTGCTTGCTCCTATGGTGCTGTAACCAACCTGGTTCAGCGTTATAGACAGATCCTACGCCCAATGAAGACCGGTACTTGCGTACTTTCCATTTCCGGAATCGATTCCTGACAGTGATGTCTTCAGCGACGAATGCCTTAGAGAATATGGTTGGTCGACAGGCAGTGGCCAGGTGACTCAGGGTCAAGGAATTAGGGCTCGCAGACCTTACAGAGGACAGTTATTGACAGCGCAACATCATTGTTAGAAATCAAGATTGGCCCGCACTGCACGTCGTTGCCAGACAACGCCAGACCCCATAGAGGCCGATTTGTACAGAGCTTCCTTGCAGCCAACAACGTCAACGTGTTGCCGTAGACTGCAAGCTCCCACAGAACACCTCTGGGATGTCATGTATCGTCGTGTTCGTCCGCGACCACAACCTCCAGCCTACCGACAAGAACTGATCCAGGCCATCCAAGAAGAATGGCAACGTATCCCACGTGACTTCATCAGACTGACTTTTTCTGTGTGCCGCAGAGTTTTGCGAGTGCTACCCCACCTCAATTCGGGCACATTTCATGCCAATATCGGATACTGTATGGCTGTCATTTTAAATTTTGATTTCGTTTACATTTTTATCTTTTCAATACATTTTACGTCATGCATCTATCTGTTGTGTTTTTTAAACGAGAGTGATTTAAAACTATGGCAAAGTTTCTTTTGGTCGTCACAATTGAGCCTAAATGATGTTTTTGAAAAAAAACAACAATTGCAATAATATCCTTTTTGTGGCAGACCATTTATTTTCTTCGAAAAAAACCAGCCCCAACCCACGCACCTCTCACCCCTCACCCCCATCCCCCGAATATGAAATGGTCGGTTCCTAAGCTGACACGCCGTGATATTTTACTTAAATACTGTTCAAATGGGCGTTAAACCTAAGTCACTCACTCACAGACACTATGGGGGAAATAAGCCAACATAGAAACATAAATTATAAGTTATTACATGTTGATTCAAAATTGAAACGAGAAGTTTAACCCAGAAATTGGTACGTTTTCAGAACAAATTCGTGAAATCAGTAAATAACCACACAGGGTCAAATAACAAAAACCCTATTACAACATCTTTCCGAGCCAAGAGAGTTAACGGCCTGAAAAAGTCCAGTTTCAACCTTACTGAACTAGGCTGGAATTTCTGAGTTCGATCGTAGCGCCTCCAGAGGCTATTACGGGTTATGTCTCTTCTATGCCCTTCCTAATGACCAATCAGATTCCACCTCCCACTTGCATTTGCTTCAAAAAAAAATGGCGGCGCCTAGGCAAAACAATCTGATCGATGATCAAGATATTACTGTTTTAAAACGGGTCTTACGTCACGAAGCGCAACAAATCACGTAAGCACCTTGATTAAAAATATGAAAATATGTGGAAAATATATGTCGACGCCCAGTTGACAGTACACTCCTTTTGTCAAGCCTGCAGTCGACCGAAATCTGTACGTTTCCGAACCCGATGTCGTTACGCGATTTTAATTGGACTATACATAAACTCGTTAGTCCAGCTAAAATGTAACTCCATAATTGCAGTCAAGTTTGGCAAGGGTGGAAAGTGGACTTTTACAGACAGTTATCTCCCTTGCCTCGGGAAGATTGTCTTCAATAAAAGCCAGGGCACTCACGAGTGCCTAGTGTGTGTCACCGTTGAGTGGCCTGAATGAGGCGCTTGCACCGGTTTTTGAATCCAGGAAACAATTTTGGAAGTTAAGGTTTTATTTGAACATGTAAAATCTCAATCGGGGGCTTTTCAGAATAATAAACCTATTAGGAGCGTTTCAACTAACTTAAGAGTGACTGAGTTTGATTTTACGCCCCTTTTAGCAATATTCCAGCAATATCACGGCGGGGGACAACAGAATTGGGCTTCACACATTGTACCCATGTCGGGAATCGAACCCGGGTCTTCGGCGTGACGAGCGAACACTTTAACCACCAGGCTACCCGACCGCCGCAACTGACTTAAGAACCGTCTAAATGCAAGAGATACCGGAAAGATTTAGACAACATCGTGATATCTTATAGTGAAACAATATAATGGTCGCGGTACAAAAACGAATTCAGCGACAGCTTGCAAGAGAAAGACCATGTGCAGATGCAGGCCACTGATGGTTGAACATCATTTCATCACCTGACCCAATGGCACAGTGGGAGAACAGTTGGTTTTAACTCTGAACATAGAATCGATTTACGTCCTTGAATCTTCGTGAAAACAAAACTGTCAAAACCAGTCAATAATCGACATGAGATTCATATTAAAAGGCTGCGTATTTAACTGTAAAGCCAAGTTCTTACAATTCAAATGCAAAATCTTAAAGCAGTTCTTACAATTCAAATTTCAGGTCTCATTTGAAAGTAGTACCTCCCACAAGGTTATTGTGAGATAGCAAGATACCTACAATACAATAAGCAAAAGTGGCAGCAGTTTTGAAGAGTCGATGTTTTCCGATAGGTGTCCCGTCGGCATAATTTTGTTACGCATATTCATCAGAAATATACTTACAATAACTACTGCAACATACCACTCACCCCCCTCACCTCACGCATACCATCACTTCAGCGTCTTTCTAACGCAAAGCCACATTGGCGAACGGTCTAAACGTCTGAGGCGCCGCAACTATGGGTAAACGTGAATCTTGAATTGTTAGGTTAAAATATAGAACTATACATCATGTCAATGTGTCTCCCTGTGGGAGTTCCAATGCCCACAGTGCCTAGTGAGTGCAGTCCTGGCCGACTTAATGAGGATTCATGTGGTAACACATGTGTTACCTGGCTGATCGAGCGTCATCTGGTGCAGACTCAATTACAGTCGAACCCCGCTATCACGAACATGGCGCGAACGAGCCATGGGCATCCAGACAGATCAAATAACAGTATTACTGATCTATAACAATACGATTGCATATATAAGAAAGTAAGAACAAAACGTATTAGATGACAAACAGAAATGTATTTGCAGGCTGTGATCAATAACAATTAGATCTTTGACATATGTACAATACTGGATGTACACGTGTGGTTGTATTACATAAAGGATTGAAAAAAAACATGTATAGGTACCTTATTAGGAATTTTCGAGATATCGGTACATTCGAGATAACGATGCTCGACTGTATTCACTGACACAAACATATCCAGCCTTTGAAATTCACCCTAGCCCGCTAGCCCGAGACGACAAAATTGCGGTGAGGACAAGTAAATATCCAATGATGGTAGTCCTCATTGACTAGATGCATTTAAGGGCTATAATTATGGACCAGTTCTCAATGCTTCAATTTTGCAACAAATTAGAACTAAATAGAACTGATGGGAATTTAAAGATAGTAATTTGTTTGTCATGTCACATGACTATTGTATTGAAATAAACGTTACACAAGTACTCTGGACAAGTCCCAGGCTGAATGTCCCCTATTTATGCTCGAATTCCTGTGAAAAACGTTTTAGACAATTAGTCTAACTTTCGACAACATGCACGGCCCGAAACACATGTACAATATGCTGCATGTCTGACGTAGGCGCGACAAACAGCTCGCCGTTGGTGGTTCATTAAACAAACCATATGTTTATGAATCATATTTCCTATTGACATCAACAGTCTCATTATGAGCTGCATATCCATATCAACTCGGGAGGACACACACAGACTTCTCTAATTAATATTGCTATCAATTGATATCACATTAAAATGTACCTGTCCACATTAAATGATGCCGTCAGATCGAGAACATCAACACACTATGGACGTGTATGCGTGCTTACAGAACGCCTTGCTGGCTGGGGCAACCATCTTCTCCGTGGCTTATTTGTAAGTTTGTCGTTAACATGTTTTTCAATTGCTATGATTTCCTTTCTACATATACTGAATGGCTACTAAATGTGTTGCTATGACAATCGTCCTTCTATTAACAACCCCTTGTGTACCCGTGAAGATCCGGGGTACAATAGGTCTTCAGCAAGACATGCTTGTCGTAAAAGGCGACTAACGGGATCGGGTGGTCAGGCTCGCTGACTTTGTTGATGCATGTCATCGTATCCCAAATGACAGATCGATGCCCATGATGTTAATCACTGGATTGTCTGGTACACACTCGATTATATACAGACCCCGTCATACAGGTTGAATAGTGCTGTGCCCAGCGTTAAACAACAAACAAACAAACAAACAACACCTTGTGATATACAGAATTCGTACAGCTTTGTTTCCAATTAGCATTTGCGAAAATGTTGTCGTATATAATTGGTAAGTGAGTTTGGTTTAACGCCGCTTTGAACAGTATTCCAGATATATCACGGCGTGTAAGTTTAATGACGGGGGTGAGGGTGTGTGTGAGGGTGGGTGGGGGGCGGGGGTCGAGACATGAAGTGTTGCATGTCTCAGACGTCTACCACTTTGGTGAATCCCACGAATACGGATATGGTGCTGACAAACCCAGAAACATATTCGGTGTTACTCCGGGCACCGTTCATTGGGGTATATGTGGATAGATCATGGAACTGAAGAAAAAGTACAACGTTGCAATATTTCGTTAATCTTTACATTCCTTAATCCGGAAAGTTTTACCTGGGACGGATTTTCCTAAATGGTTTAAAAGTTTATCATAGCCGTGAAGGGAACTTGTATCGGGAGAATATGGTCCCAGCCACCGAGAGTACACGCCTTGTGTGAGAGTTTATTACGGTAGATAGAACGATTCTAGCATAGCATCAACCACATACTTCAGGCTGTAAGAATATATCCCAAATATATTCAATAGTGTCTGTTTCACTCTCACTCACTCACTCACTCACTCACTCACTCACTCACTCACTCACTCACTCACTCACTCACTCTCTCTCTCTCTCACTCACTCACCCACTCACTCACTCACTCGACGTTAATCCACCTCACCTCACCTCACCTCACCTCACCTCACCTCACCTCACCTGGGTGGAGGGTACATTACAAGAACTTCTGTTCCCACCTTAGTTACGGACAATGGAGGAACACCCTGTTCCACGAGTACGGGATACCGGGACCCCAACCAGAGCCGTATCTTGGAAACATCAGAGAAATCATGAAAAAGGTAATATCCACATGTATTTACAAATATTATTTTCAAAACAAGTGGAGCTAGTATGAAACTATACGTGTGGAAAAAAATAACTGTGCTTCATATAAAGTGGTGTAAATGTTACTTTATTGAAAATAACATATTATCTGGTTATTGGTCTAATCAAAGTTTTATCCTAACAAAGTCATCGTCAAAGCCCATGCCTGGCATCAGAGAGATATACCTTAGAAGAGGGGCGGCGTAGGAACTCAATTAACAATGTCAATATCAGATGTGAACACCATTTGCGGTGATGCAGGCTAGGCAGGCAGTGGCGGAGTAATGAACAGATGATTAAAAACAGCCTGGGGGATGTTGTTCCAAATGTTAATCAAAGATTGGTCAAGATGAGCTGGCTTTAACGGCTGATTCTGGTCCTGGCGTATGCGTCGTTCCATCTCACCATGAGAGGCCTGGAGAAACAGACGGCCATGCCAGTACAGCAAAGTCATGATGCGTCAAAATGTCAGTTACAACACATGCAACATGTGGGAGGGCATTGACCGGCTGCAACGTGACGTAACGTGCCTACATCTATACAAAGAGTAGAACCCCATATCGAACGATGTCGTCCCGGTAGCGTACTCCATTCAAATTCTCATTAACAATGATGACTTGTGTTCTCCAATGAGTTTCGATGTCAGCCAATACCATTACACCTCCACCCCCAAACCGACGACGTTAAGTAACGCAAGCGTCGATTCCGTAGACATACCAACCGAATATGGTTTTCTTGTTGACGTGGAGTCACACGTGGACGACCGTCCCTTGGAAAGTCATGAGTTGCCCTGATGTAGATTTTCAGCAAGCCGTGGCATTTTGTAGGCGTTATTTAACAAAGGTGTTTTATGAGCACCTGAAACAATAATTGTGTGCCGTTCACATAAAAAAAACACGCGTGTGAGTATCATGCTCCAATCAGACACACCCAATTGTGCGCCGTGTATTAACATGCACGTGCAAACTGTAAATCACGATCTTAAAATGGGAAGATGTCTTCATGATTATTAGAAGTTGCATTATATAATTTAAGAATAAATGTATTTTTTTGAACATTGTATGAAGCACTGTTACTCTTTTACCTCAGTATAATATTGAACAGTGAGTGAGTGAGTGAGTGAGTGAGTGAGTGAGTTGGGTTTAACGCTGCTTTTAACAATATTCCAGTTATATCGTGGCGTGTCAGCTTAATGTGGGAGGAAAGCCCGAAGTGATGCAGGTCTTAGACGTTTACCACTTCGGTGAAACCCACGAGCACGGGTATGGTGCTGACAAACCTAGAAACATAATCGAGGCGAACCGGGATTCGAACCCACAATCAAAGGTTTCTGGCGTGCCCAAGGGACGCAACTCTGCACAGGGAATCGCGGCGCCTTAGACGACTTGGCCCCCCGTGTCCCCTTATTGAACAGAATACCACAACTGAATACATACGAAAACTTTACGCTTCTTTAAGTACATGCTTGCAATAGGCTTTTAATAGGTTTGGATTTGTCTCACGCATTTTACAATTCTCGCAACATGTTTAACATTCTAACGTTCTGACACTTTACTAATAGATTGATATGTGGAGCACAAATATTTAAAACTCTTAGGTTAGGATCTAACATTGGTGTAAAGGGTTAACCTCACAATAGGTTTCATATATGCACAACTGATTTTGAATTCTCTCAAGTGGTTTAACAACCAATTAGTAATAACAAAATGTTGGTTTTCCAGGGATTTCGTGAGGTGTTAGCGGAATGGATGCATTCATTCGGCGACGTGTACGGGTACGTTTTTGTTCAACGTTACAACAGTTATGGCATGCCGGCTTATCTCCAGTCCCTGATGAAATTTGCTTTCACTTTGATACCCTTTGAATGGTGAGGCTGCAATGAGTATGCTGCCTGGGCACTTACTTACCACGCCGAAGACCCGGGTTCGATTCCCCATATGGTTACAATACTAAAAGCGGCATAAACCATACTCATTCGCTCACTTACCTATCAACGAAGAACTGTCCGATCAAAATAAAATGAAAAATTTACCAACGTGAAATCACATTTTGACGGTTAACACCAAAGCTACATTTGGACACACGCACCAGTGAACAGTCCTTTTTTTTCATATTGCCATGATACAGGATTGCAATAGTTATGATATACAAAAAACATTACTTTTTCCATGCAAATTGCGTGAGTGGCGTTGCTAGCGGTAGAGCAGGACTTGGTTACCTTTTTCGCGATTACCTGGTGTCGTCACTGATTTTCACTCATCAAGATACATACTTTTCATCACTCTTGTGCCTTTCGCGCCCATTGGAATTTGTTACGGCAGATAATCGATTATTCTCTGGCATTGGCGTTTTATAGTTATGATGCACGTGTTTAACAAATGACTGTGTTGTTTTACGTTTTATCTGAAAACTTTTGTTAGCTTTTAACTGTCCTTCGTTGGCAGCTTTCAAGTAAATGTAGTATGCGTTCGTATTGCTTTACATTCTGATGGTAAATGCGTCTCAAACGCGTCCTGAAGCTAATGAACCCAGGGTATTTATCACAACAGAGGGACAACTTCCCGAGGCAAGGGAGTTAACTGACTTTAACAGTCCAGTTTCCATCCTTGCCAAACTAGGCTGGAATGACTGGGCTCGATCGAAGCGCCAAAAGTGGCTATTACCAATTATGTCCCTTCTAAGCCTCTCCTATGGACCAATCAGATTCCACCTCTCGTATCACTTGCGTTTGTTTCAAACAAAATGGTGGCGCCCATTCAGGACGATCTCATCGATAATCAAGATCTATATTGTGATAAAACGATTCTTACATCACGAAATGCATCAAATCACGTGAGAACCTTGATTAAAAACATAAAAGGATTTGGAAAATATCTGCTGACAACGAATTGGCGATTCACATGCTTTGCAAATCCTGCAATCGATCGAAATCTGCACGACAGTTTACGAACCGGATTTTGATATCGGTGCGCGATTTTGATTGGACTATGCATAAACTCGTTAGTCCAGACAAAACGTTATTCCATAATACCAGTCTAGTTCGGCAAGGGTGGAAACTGGACTTTTATAGTCAGTTAACTCCTTTGCCTCGGGAAGATGCAGAATGAAGGCTTAACACACTGGACAATCGAGGATGACTTTCGTGCATACATGATAAGATATGCATTCAGCTGGTTAGTAAGAAGCCGACAAGTGACTGCAGAGAATGACGAAATATACAGTCGATATGATCAATGGACGCAAATTAAGTAAAGAATAGATGAGAACAATAATAAGTATTCATAATTTGCAAATGCGGCTTGTTAAAAAAGGGGCAAGGTGTAGAATGGTAATGTAAATGCAAGTTTGGTATGTGTGATGTGATGTGTGCATGCACTATGAACACACCTATTTATGGCGCCATATATTTCCAGATTTTACATTGGACACACTCCGACCATATTCGTCAAAGATCTCGACATACTGAAGGAAGTATCCATCAAACACTTCCAGGATTTTCCGGACAGAAGGGTAACAGTTTATCTAAGACTTCTCTGAATAATACATAGCTTCTTTCATTAATGATGATAATAATAATAATAATAATAATAATAATAATAATAATAGGCCATTTATATTGGGCAATTTTCCACACCACACATGGGCATGCTCAAAGCGCAATTTTGTTCCCGGTCACTGGATCAGTGTGCACTCAACAATCATTCTCAGCTCCCTGGGGAGTACACAACCCAACTGTATGTTAGGCGCCGGGTGGTTAACAACCACATTGTCATCTCATCCTACCAGGTACCTATTGCTGTAAACAAAACGGTGACGTGTTTGCTCAGCCAACCAAAGGAATCTGTTTTATGGCCGGGTCGTGTTTGTAGATCAAACGTTTACCATGTAATGGCACGGCCGAAGTGGTGGTGGCTCAGTGACGATGTGGGCTGGAATCACCTCATCTCAGGATATAGGACAGAGCTATAAGACAGATCTCACATATTCCTTGCCATTTCGAGGCCAGTCGTGGTACCCTTTGTATGTAGAATTGGCCATTATTTCTAATTCACGACGGAGTACTTATTTAGGAATGGGAATATGGCCCGCTTAGTGCCATGACCTCCACCCGTTACATACATGTTATACCCGTGAAGATCCGGTTAGAATAGGTCTTCAGCAACCCATGCTTGTCGTAAAAGGTCTGTCGTAAGAGACGACTACGGGATCGGGTGGTCAGGCTCGCTGACTTGGTTGATGCATGTTATCGTATCCCAATTGCGTGGATCAGTGCTCATGATGTACATGCATACTGACGACATATACTGAGTAGACCGGTGGAATGTTTCGAGTATGAGTATAGGACTCCAGTCACCTTTGCTTGCAAGAGGTGATTAAATAACTCGAATGGTCAGGCTCGCTGGCTAGAGTGGATCGATGCGCAATCAATGATTTTCTTTTCCAGACTCGATTATTTACAGACCGCCGTCATATAGCTGGAATATTGCTGAGTGTGGCGTTAAACAAACAAACAAACAAACAAAACATATATGTCAGGTCAGTGTCATATGAGCCATCATGCAGAGACTCATGTTCGGGGCCGATTGGTTGCAGCTCTAACCGCTGTCTGATATTACTGATATTCACGCACCAAAAACTTCATGTTACATCGCGGTTAACCAAACAAAGCATGACCATTGACTCTCCATGCAATATAGGCGATCCCATATTGTTTTCCATAAATATAGCACACGGTTGGATACAATATGTCATGATCTGATATATCGAGGATGTAAACATTCGGAGTACGACCACAAAACAACAGTTATGTCCGTGCTGCTATATATGACACAGGTAACCTTGAGTGAGTATGGTTTTACGCCGCTTTAAGCAATACCCCAGCAATATCACGACGGGGGACACCAGAAATGGGCTTCACACATTGTAACCAGTAGGGAATCGAACCGGGGCTTCTGGTGACGAGCGAACGCTTCAACCACCAGGCTATCCCACCGCCAGTTAATAGTCTGAACGTAAATATTTAGTAAATGTTCGAGTATTTGTATTGATGGTCTCTATTCTGAAGTTTTCAGATTTGACTCCGGGCACGATCCGTCACGGCGTGCTCTTCTCCAGGGGGGATGCATGGAGGAGACAGCGGGCCATCATGGCGCCCACCTTCAGCGGAGTGAAGCTTAACAAGGTCCTACATCACTTCTACCCAACAGCTATAAACCATAATCAGACACATAAAGCTCACAAGAATTATACTTATGAATAAAAGCGACAAAATCTTCACAATTATCACAAGAAATTTCTGCTGGAAGAGTTCGTTGTATGATTCCGAAAATATATATATATATGTGCTTATGAATCACTATCAAATAGCGTATCCTGCCCTGTCGGTGGCACCCATCACAAACACATGCTGAAGAAACACGGAAACGTTGATCCAAGTCAAAATATGGATTTGCATCAGACGTCATTTTTGTCACTTACCCAAATCCTAACCGTATTATACGTTTAATGAAGCAGCCAAATATCTTTTCCCCGTTCTATTTCTTTAGATGGGCAACGTATTGAATGACTGCGCTGATAACTTGGTCAAGACGTTGACAGACAGTGCTGGAGGCGAGATTGTCTTGCGAGAGTACGTAACTTTTTTATGTCATGAACAACCATATGTCAGTAAATATGTCAACAGCGCGTTATGGTTTGGCTGTAATTGGACATTGCAGGCCTAGAAACTCCGTCGTGACGTCGTGTGTCAACTTCATAATATCCCATTAGACCTTGCCAATCGTTTTACTTACAGTACACCCAGTCAGTAATGTTACATAGAGTACCTATCTCAATCGTTGTACTTACAGTACACCCAGTCAATAATGTTACAAAGAGTACATATCTCAATCGTTGTATTTACAGAACACATCGTCAATCACTTTACTTACACTACATATTCTCAATCGCTTTATTTACATTATTGCACCTTGTCTGTCACGTTGAGAACATCTTGCCAAACACTTTACTTACACTAGAACTTGTCAGTCGCTTTACTTACAGAACACACAGTCAATAATGTTGCATAGAGTACACATCCTCAATCGCTGTATTTACCGAACACATCGTCAATCACTTTGCAAAGAGAACATCTTGACAATCTACTTACTAACAGTACATCTTCTTTCACTACAGATTCTCAATCGCTTTACTTACAGTACACCTTGTCTGTCATTTAACGTTGGGAACATCTTGCAATCACTTTACTTACAGCGGAACAAGTCAATCGCTTTACTTACAGTACACCTTGTCTGTCATTTAACGTTGGGAACATCTTGCAATCACTTTACTTACAGCGGAACAAGTCAATCGCTTTACTTACAGTACACCTTGTCTGTCATTTAACGTTGGGAACATCTTGCAATCACTTTACTTACAGCGGAACAAGTCAATCGCTTTACTTACAGTACACCTTGTCTGTCATTTAACGTTGGGAACATCTTGCAATCACTTTACTTACAGCGGAACAAGTCAATCGCTTTACTTACAGTACACCTTGTCTGTCATTTAACGTTGGGAACATCTTGCACTCACTTTACTTACAGCAGAACTAGTCCATCGCTTTACTTACATTACACGTTGTCTGTCACTTAACGTTGGGAACATCTTCCACTCACTTTACTTACAGCAGAACTAGTCAATTGCTTTACTTACATTACACCTTGTCTGTCATTTAACGTTGGGAACATCTTGCACTCACTTTACTTACAGCAGAACTAGTCAATCGCTTTACTTCCAGTACACCTTGTCTGACACTTCACGTTGGGAACATCTTGCACTCACTTTACTTACAGCAGAACTAGTCAATCGCTTTACTTACATTTCACCTTGTCTGTCACTTAACGTTGGGAACATCTTGCACTCACTTTACTTACAGCGGAACAAGTCAATCGCTTTACTTCCAGTACACCTTGTCTGTCATTTAGCGTTGGGAACATCTTGCAATCACTTTACTTACAGCGGAACAAGTCAATCGCTTTACTTACAGTACACCTTGTCTGTCATTTAACGTTGGGAATATCTTGCAATCACTTTACTTACAGCAGAACTAGTCCATCGCTTTACTTACATTACACCTTGTCTGTCACTTAACGTTGGGAACATCTTGCACTCACTTTACTTACAGCAGAACTAGTCAATCGCTTTACTTCCAGTACACCTTGTCTGACACTTAACGTTGGGAACATCTTGCACTCACTTTACTTACAGCAGAACTAGTCAATCGCTTTACTTACATTTCACCTTGTCTGTCACTTAACGTTGGGAACATCTTGCACTCACTTTACTTACAGCGGAACAAGTCAATCGCTTTACTTCCAGTACACCTTGTCTGTCATTTACCGTTGGGAACATCTTGCAATCACTTTACTTACAGCGGAACAAGTCAATCGCATTACTTCCAGTACACCTTGTCTGTCATTTAACGTTGGGAATATCTTGCAATCACTTTACTTACAGCAGAACTAGTCCATCGCTTTACTTACATTACACCTTGTCTGTCACTTAACGTTGGGAACATCTTGCACTCACTTTACTTACAGCAGAACTAGTCAATCGCTTTACTTACATTACACCTTGTCTGTCATTTAACGTTATGAAAACATGGTGCACTCACTTTACTTACAGTAGAACTAGTCAATCGCTTTACTTCCAGTACACCTTGTCTGTCACTTAACGTTGGGAACATCTTGCAATCACTTTACTTACAGCAGAACTAATCAATCGCTTTACTTCCAGTACACCTTGTCTGTCACTTATCGTTGGGAACATTTTGCAATCACCTTACTTACAGCAGAACTAGTCAATCGCTTTACTTACAGTACACATTGTCTGTCACTTAGCGTTGGGAACATCTTGCAATCACTTTACTTACAGCAGAACTAATCAATCGCTTTACTTCCAGTACACCTTGTCTGTCACTTATCGTTGGGAACATTTTGCAATCACCTTACTTACAGCAGAACTAGTCAATCGCTTTACTTACAGTACACATTGTCTGTCACTTAGCGTTGGGAACATCTTGCAATCACTTTACTTACAGCAGAACAAGTCAATCGCTTTGCTTACAGTACACCTTGTCTGTCACTTAACGTTGGGAACATCTTGCACTCACTTTACTTACAGCAGAACTAGTCACTCGCTTTACTTACATAACACCTTGTCTGTCACTTAACGTTGGGAACATCTTGCACTCACTTTACTTACAGCAGAACTAGTCAATCGCTTTACTTACATTACACCTTGTCTGTCATTTAACGTTATGAAAACATGGTGCACTCACTTTACTTACAGTAGAACTAGTCAATCGCTTTACTTCCAGTACACCTTGTCTGTCACTTAACGTTGGGAACATCTTGCACTCACTTTACTTACAGCAGAACTAGTCAATCGCTTTACTTCCAGTACACCTTGTCTGTCACTTTACGTTGGAAACATCTTGCAAGCACTTTACTTACAGCAGAACTAGTCAATTGCTTTACTTATATTACACCTTGTCTGTCACTTAACGTTGGAAACATCTTGCAATCACTTTACTTACAGCAGAACTAGTCAATCGTTTTACTTACATAACACCTTGTCTGTCACTTAACGTTGGGAACATCTTGCAATCACTTTACTTACAGCAGAACTAGTCAATCGCTTTACTTACATCACACGTTGTCTGTCATTTAACGTTGGGAACATCTTGCAATCACTTTACTTACAGCAGAACTAGTCAATTGCTTTACTTATATTACACCTTGTCTGTCACTTAACGTTGGGAACATCTTGCAATCACTTTACTTACAGCAGAACAAGTCAATCGCTTTACTTACATTACACCTTGTCTGTCACGTAACGTTGGGAACATCTTGCAATCACTTTACTTACAGCAGAACTAGTCAATCGCTGTACTTCCAGTACACCTTGTCTGTCACTTAACGTTGGGAACATCTTGCAATCACTTTACTTACAGCAGAACAAGTCAATCGCTTTACTTACATTTCACCTTGTCTCTCACTTAACGTTGGGAACATCTTGCAATCACTTTACTTACAGCAGAACTAGTCAATTGCTTTACTTCCAGTACACCTTGTCTGTCACTTAACGTTGGGAACATCTTGCACTCACTTTAATTACAGCAGAACTAGTCAATCGCTTTACTTCCAGTACACCTTGTCTGTCACTTAACGTTGGGAACATCTTGCAATCACTTTACTTACAGCAGAACAAGTCAATCGCTTTACTTACATTACACCTTGTCTGTCACTTAACGTTGGGAACATCTTGCAATCACTTTACTTACAGCAGAACTAGTCAATCGATTTACTTACATTTCACCTTGTCTGTCACTTAACGTTGGGAACATCTTGCAATCACTTTACTTACAGCAGAACTAGTCAATTGCTTTACTTCCAGTACACCTTGTCTGTCACTTAACGTTGGGAACATCTTGCAATCACTTTAATTACAGCAGAACTAGTCAATCGCTTTACTTCCAGTACACCTTGTCTGTCACTTAACGTTGGGAACATCTTGCAATCACTTTACTTACAGCAGAACTAGTCAATCGCTTTACTTCCAGTACACCTTGTCTGTCACTTATCGTTGGGAACATTTTGCAATCACCTTACTTACAGCAGAACTAGTCAATCGCTTTACTTACAGTACACATTGTCTGTCACTTAGCGTTGGGAACATCTTGCAATCACTTTACTTACAGCGGAACAAGTCAATCGCTTTACTTACAGTACACCTTGTCTGTCACTTAACGTTGGGAACATCTTGCAATCACTTTACTTACAGCAGACCTAGTCAATCGCTTTGCTTGCAGTACACCTTGTCTGTCACTTAACGTTGGGAACATCTTGCACTCACTTTACTTACAGCAGAACTAGTCACTCGCTTTACTTACATAACACCTTGTCTGTCATTTAACGTGGGGAACATCTTTCAATCACTTTAATTACAGCAGAACTAGTCAATCGCTTCACTTACATCACACGTTGCCGTCACTTAACGTTGGGAACATCTTGCAATCACTTTACTTACAGCAGAACTAGTCAATCGCTTTACTTACATCACACGTTATCTGTTACTTAGCGTTGGAACCATCTTGCAATCACTTTACTTACAGCAGAACTAGTCAATCGCTTTACTTACAGATTACTGTGGCCCAATTCTAACTCTCTTCTATCTATTTAGCCACCCCGCACAGATAAAATATTGCTATAGCTCATGTCAAGCATGCAGCATGTTATGCGTCTGTATTTCATTTGAAATTATGGTGAATATCACTAAATATTTAATCAACAGGCATTTTGGTCAGTTTTCCCTGGAGGTGATTGTCAAAGCAGCATTTGGCCTCTACACCGACACCAATGACGTCATATACTCTAAGCTACGGCAGCTGATTCGCCCTGGGAAGAAAGGAGCCTTCTCCCACTTCAGCAGCAGTGAGTCATCATCCATCGTATTCCCATCTGATAGTGTGGATCACTCTTATGTTTTAATTCATTCTGTATTGTTTTCCAGCAAAATAATCACTGCAAAAAATGAAATATGAAAATACATGATTTAAATTGAGTCAAGAAGGTAAAATTGATACAGTCGGACCCCGGTAACTCGAACCTAGCATGGATAGCCAGACAGATCAAGTAACAATTTGGCCAAACTGTACTGTAACAGCCATGTTAGCTGATTGTGTAAGGAAAGGTACTAGATATATCTAAGAGAATTGTTCACTGCTAAGCGAAATGTTCTTTGCGCTTCTCAAAACTGTTTATGTGGCAAATGCCAACTAGGAGATATGGGTACAAAATTATATGATGAAATCAGTTTGGGACAGAGTCAGTGGTTCGAGATGACGCTAAGTAGTTTTATCTCGTTATCTCGAGATATGAGGTCAGATTTATATTATGTATTTATATAGTCGGGCGGGAATGGACATTAGGTTCGAGATATCCGTACATTTGAGATAACGGTGTCCGGCTGTATTTCCATTGTGAAAGCTTCGGTTAATTTTCATGGTGAAGGAGATAAATATTTCTGGAAGTATTTCCCGTAGTGTTTGTTGAATATGATTGTTTTAAGAAATACACCATGTCCGAAGTCTTGTGGCAATTTACCAGGTCGACTCTTTGCATACTTTCATAAAATTATGTCACAAATTTAATTTTCTGAATATCAGGTTGTAAGACAAGGGACTTTAAGTAAAAGAAAACCAATTCAAAATAATATATGTTGATTCTCGCAATGGTTGCGGCATAATGTTTAGAAAACTAAAGAATGCAAACTACAATATACTACGTGTTGGGTTGGTCTTTGCAGCAGGCGTCGGATATTGACGAAGCTATGCTTTATTTCCAGGTATATTCCCATCTACAGTTCCCGTGTTGAGGGCACTTGGGTTCAGCATTCTTCCCAAAGAACCATATCAGTATATCTTGCGCGCGCTGGATGACATCTTCAACTTGAGGAGACTCGAACCTAAGAAAGAAGTATGTTATTTAGTTAGGCCATTTGTTAGTGAGTGCAACGCGATTTTGGTAGCGGCTAAGCCATACTGGTGCAAGCACCAGTGGTCACGACTCTAGGAAGTCTCTACCCCGAACATCCTACTTAAGGAGGACCCGGGATTCGCACCTCCAATCAGCGGATCCTGGTCTATCTAAAATAAAACGACACAACAAAAAATGCTCACCGATAATTTGAAATTTATGAATGAATTATATTTCAATTCAAATTATTATTTTAGAAAGGTAATAAGGTCCGTCCTCAACCAATTTTAAAACCATGCACTTTTAATCTTAAAAAGAAAATATGAGGAACTTTTGGAAAATGAGCATATCGAACACATGGACATGTTCTTATAACTAAATGTGACACCTTCCCAATAGACACTTACACAAAGTCGGATATCAATAATGGTGTGTTTGTAAATGGTTGTCAAGGTATGATTTCATCGAGAACATTAATGGACTTGAGCATAATGCAGCCTTCTTACGCTTACGGGGACACAAGGGGCTAAGTCGTCTAAGGCGCCGCAATTCGCTGTGCAGAGTTGCGTCCCTTGGGTACGCCAGAAACCTATGAGGGTTCGAATCCAGGTTCGCCCCGATTATGTTTCTAGGTTTGTCATCACCATACCCGTGCTCGTGGTTTCACCAAAGTGGTAAACGTTTGAGACCTGCATCACTTCGGGCTTTCCTCCCACATTAAGCTGACACGCCATGGCATAACTGGAATACTGTTAAAAGCAGCGTTAATCACAACTCACTCACTCTTGCTATTACTTTACACGTCCTTATCAAACTCAGATCTGCAGTGTCCTTGATATGATTCCAGAACAAAGACTTCCTTCAACTGTTGATTGACGCTGAAAACATAGATGTATCCGACGCAAACCAAAAAACCATCAAAAGTAAGCTTTTTTAATATATTCAACAGAGTAACAGCATGCGATCATGGTGTATCGTGCAACGTCATAGAGACATACTTATGGCGGAGTCTGGCCTAGACAAGAAGTGGCTGATATATAAAAAATATAACACGATCATTTCAATCTTATTATCAGAACGATTTATATTCACGAAATATATAAAGCGTTATTTTTCTCAAATATATAGAGGCTATTTCATGTGTCTAGTGAAATATGATGTATCTCTCATTGAGTGACATGGAAAAGAAGATATTTTCATGAGTTGCCCGTACACTGTATTTTCACTATCTACACAGAGATGTAACTTCCGAAGTCCGGTTACTGTCGAGTAGGACAGAGACACGGACGAGTAACTTCGTTACCTGTGGTTCTGGAGATAGACGTTGTTATCAGTACGTTGTACGGATACAGGGGGGGGGGGGGGGGGGGGGTGCACACACACACCTTTTTATTTAAAAAAATTCTTTATTTCTGTATAAATTACACCAAAAACAATAAATAGATCCTAATTGTGCACACACACCCCCCCCCCCCCCCCCCCCCCCTTTTCAAAAAAGCTGTATCCGCCCATGATATATACTACTCCAGTTTTGATAGGGATACTTTTATCCTTCCATGATACATAACAAAGGTTAAGTAGTACACATAACTTAATATGACCTTAGAAACAAACAGGGTATGATTTGTTCAACAAAAGGAACAGAACCTTTAGGGTTACAATTTGACCGCCGTTACCATAGTATATATGTTACAGTCAATGTGTAAAATGATTGAAATTATCATTTAGACAATTTAGACTAAATATTTCAGTCATTTTACAATTATTTTTGTATTCTTTTCATTATCATAAAATAAATGGACATATTTGCAAGTCAATTTGTAAATTGGCTTAAATATTTAGGCAGCTTTCCAAAGTTAAACACATTTGACACATTGAATGATTTGACACTTTGGCTATAACATATATATATACTCCAGAAATGAGCCGGGATGAGATACTGGGCCAGATGTTCATGTTCATCATAGCGGGGTACGAGACCACAGCCTCCACCCTCAACTTCCTGGCCCACTCTCTGGCGGTTCACCCCGATATACAGCGGAAAGTGGTGGACGAAATACATCAACATCTGGACCAGGTGAGGATAAACTACTCTGCATAACTCATCCTCATATGCTGTTGAGGGCACGAGCGGTCCATCTGAGGCGCCACACTTTGATATGAGTTGCTTCCTTTAGGCGTTCAAGAAGCTTAATTTGTGATTGCGGGTTCGAATCCCGGAATCGCCCTGATTATATTCCTTGGTTTGTCAGCACCATACTCGTGATCGTGGGTTTCACCAAAGTGGTAATTATCTAAGACCTGCGTCAAATCAGCCTTTCTCCACAACATCGAGCTGACACATCATGATATCAATGAAATACTGTCCAATGTGGCGTAAAACACAAGTCACTCACTCATAAACTTGAGTCTACAGTTTAATCAATATCAATGTCATGCCCTTCTGACGTTGAAGTAAGTGCAAGATTGTCTTTATATGTAAGACCGCCTCCGTGGTCTAGTGGTAGAGCGTCCGCCCGGAGAGCGGAAGGTCCGGGGTTCGATCCCCGACCGCGTCATACCAAAAGACGTTAAAAGATGGTACTTGTTGTTACCCTGTCTGGCGCTCGGCATGAAGGGGCTAAAACAATGACTGGTCGGCTCGGAGTCAGTATACTGTGTCTGAGTGGGGTATTCATGTTAAACTGCGGCATTGTATCTCATGGTATATGTAGCACTATAAATCGGCATCAGTCCGGACTAGTACAAGCAGCCACACAAACACACACACGTACATACACGTCGCTATATAAGTGCAATAATCTTGCACGCGACGTTAAACCCCATTTCACCTCACCTCACCTTTATATGTAAAAACTATAAATTGATTGTTATACATAATAATCACTCGAACTTTCTAGTGTTTTTAATTGGTGTGGGGTAGCCTCATGGTTACTGCGTTGGTTTATCACGCCGAAGACCCGGGTTCGATTCCCCACATGGGTACAATGTGTGAAGCCGATTTTCCGTTCTATGATATTTCTGGAATATTGCTAAAAGCGGCGTAAAACAATACTCACTCATTTCGTTGGTATGATCCAAGCCTCCTTTAACGTTACGGCAGATTATTTCGCCATGCGCAGGGAGTAACACAGACTACATTACTACAACCATGTTCTCGTATGGTGGGAATTGTTTAAGAATACTATCAGTATGCTCGCCCAATATTTATCTGCTAACCTTATATGACACTGTATACGGCAACTAAAGATACCATAACGAATTTATTATGACGAAACGTTTACACTACTTACTACCTTTGTCGCACATGTCATGTCAAAACGTCAAACTCAAAACTTAACACTTACAACCTAAGGGTCAACGTTAAGGATCAAAGGGAGACTACTCTTCAAACCTCAGGGGTTAAACCTTGTTGATCATTTTAACTTTATATAATCTTTATTAAAGTCACGAACGTGATAAAAAAAACACATTAACGTCCTTACACATCACAATTAATGATATTAAAACACAAAACAGTGTCGAATAACGAATTTCTTTACCAGAATGTTCATGTGGATGTTGGAAAATCCAAAATGGCTGTTACTGACGGTCTCCCATTAGGTCAGTAACAATCATCTTGGATTTTTACTGACGGTATACGGGTTCATGTGGGGTCAGTAGTTCTGCTCTCTGGTTGGTCAATCTCACTGTGAGACACAATGATGTCAGTTATTGAAATCTTGAAAGGAAATCCAATCTATTATATGGCACAAACTGTCTCCTTTTCCACGAGACCCGTGAAGATCTGGGTCAGAATAGGTCTTCAGCAACCATGCTTGCCGTAAAAGGTGAGTATGCTTGTCGTAAGAGGCGACTAACGGGATCGGGCGGTCAGGCTCGCGGACTTGGTTGGTGCATGTCATCGATTCCAATTGCGTGGATCGATGCTCATGATATTAATCACTGGGTTGTCTGGTCCAGACTCGATTGTTTACAAACCGCCGTCATATAGCTGGAATATTGCTGAGTGCGGCGTTAAATAACAAACAAACCAACCAACCTTTTCAACGAGCCGTTCTTTAAACAAATTTATTTTTCAAAGAATGCTATACATCAAAGATGTTTGTAATCGCTAATGGTGGAATTCTCCGAACAATTAACGTTTTTGTCATTGTCTGAAAACATATTCAAGATATGATTCGTATAATCCTTCAAAATGAAACATACGAAATTGTATTTTTGATTCAAGGTTATTGAAGGAAGGAAAAACTTCAACATTAAAATTTACTCGAATACAAGACGCAGGCCAGCATCGTGATCCAGCTAGACTGTTGTCGGTGCCGGAAAACAATTTTCGCTCTCTCTTTTCAGGAAGAGCCGACATATCACAACGTGGGCGAGCTGACTTACCTGGACCAGGTCGTGAAGGAAGTTCTACGTCTGTATCCTGTCATATTCGGGTAAATATCCTCAAACACATTAAAATGTCAAATCAGGTTGAATGAATGCACACGTTAAGAGGGGGCACGGATGGCCAGTCGTCTTCGGCGCCGCAATTCGCTGTGCAGAGTTGCGTCCTTTTGGAACGCCAGAAGGTGAGGTGAGGTGAGGTGAAATATGTGTGTGTGTGTGTACGTGCGTGCGTGCGTGCGTGCGTGTGTGCGTGCGTGCGTCTGGATTAATGCCAGTTTGATAGTGCTAGCCCACTGAGAATACCATGCCGCAGACGACCAGTCATTGTTTTAGCCCCAGGCAGGGTAACAACAAATACCATCTTTTAACGTCTTTTGGTATGACGCAACCGGGGATCGAACCCCCGAACTTCCGCTCTCCAGGTCGACGTTCTACCACTAGACCACGGAAGCGGTTGGCACGCCAGAAACTTTGATCGTGGGTTCGAATCCCGGTTCATCCCGATTATGTTCCTAGGTTTGTCAGCACCATTCTCGTGCTCGTAAGTGGTAGACGTCTGAGGGCAGCATCACCGGGCTTTCCTCACACATTAAGCTGACACGCCGTGATATAACTGGAATACACTTCACAGCGGCGTTAAACCCAAATCATCCTCACTCACACATTAGACTACACCGTTTCGTCCAGAAAACAAAATTAGGAACATGCTGTGGCATGTTCCTTAAACGCAGACACTTAGTAATGTCCTTCACCTTCACCTTCCCTCAGTTATGTCCTTCACCCTCACCTTCACTTAGTTATGCCCTTTACCTTCACTTAGTAATGTCCTTCACCTTCCTTTAGCAATGTCCTTCACCTTCACCTTCACTTAGTAATGTCCTTCACCTTCCTTTAGTAATGTCCTTCATCTTCACCTTCACTTAGTAATGTCCTTCACCTTCCTTTAGTAATGTCCTTCATCTTCACCTTCACTTAGTAATGTCCTTCATCTTCCTTTAGTAATGTCCTTCATCTTCACCTTCACTTAGTAATGTCCTTCACCTTCCTTTAGTAATGTCCTTCATCTTCACCTTCACTTAGTAATGTCCTTCATCTTCCTTTAGTAATGTCCTTCATCTTCACCTTCACTTAGTAATGTCCTTCACCTTCCTTTAGTAATGTCCTTCACCCTCACCTTCACTTAGTTATGCCCTTTACCATCACTTAGTAATGTCCTTCACCTTCCTTTAGCAATGTCCTTCACCTTCACCTTCACTTAGTAATGTCCTTCACCTTCACATTCTCTTAGTTATGCCCACGGAGGAGCCTTCGCTTGCAAGACATTGTACATAGACGATTAGTTTGTTTCTTTGTTGTTTAACGCCGCACTCGGCAATATTCCAGCTATAACGACGGTCTGTAAATAATCGAGTGTGGAGGACAAAAACAAGCCAGCGATTGACATCATGAGCATCAATCCACGCAATTGGGATACGATGACATGCATCAAAACAATTAAGCAAGTCTGACCACCCAAGTCCGTTTGTCGCCTCTCACGGCAAGCATGAGTATCTGAAGACCTATCCTACCCCGGATCTTGACGGGTAACAAAGGCGGTTAATGGAAGCGGTCTTAAAAGAATACCAAAATGGAACTGACTTTATGCTTATGTGAAGTCGTCACGTTAGAAGTGATTAACGCGACGTTCTATCAAACAATAGGTAACCGTTAAGATGTATGGCACCACGGCGATGAGGAAAACCGGCATTTAGCACGTTCGTGACCTTGTTCCCCGCTCCTTCGCTAAGTCGTGGACAGGTTCTCCTAGTCAAAGTCCACATTCCCAAACATCACTGTCGATCAGCGGAGAGCCGGTTGTACAATAACATTCAAAGACGAAAATACTGTTCTAGCTTTCTCTGGCCAGGGTCACATCATGAAATCGCAGATGATTAAAGTAGTATTAAACATAGTATTTAGATTTTCATGTTTGATACATTCTCTTTAGGCTATACAGTTGTGAGAATACTATAAAGGTCGCTTCCACATCCAATCCGACAACCGGATCGTTGCATAATATCAATCACTGGTTTGTCTTGCCTGTACTTGATTATTTACACACCGCCGCCATGTAGCTGTAATATTGCTGAGAGTGGCGTTAGAGAAACAACTCACAAAAGTACGTATTGTCAGGAAGTAAAGATGGGTGAGTATGGTTTTTACGCCGCTTTTAGCAATATTCCAGCAATATCACGGCGGGGGACACCAGAAATGGGCTTCACACATTGTACCCATGTCGGGAATCGAACCCGGGTCTTCGGCGTGACAAGCGAACGCTTTAACCACTAGGCTACCCGACGGCCCCTAGGAAGTAAAGAAAGACAGGTTGAAATTTGCTCGGACTGCCAATTGAACCCGAGTCATGAGGCCTCTTTTAAACATGCATTCAGGCGAAAGTGAATGAATGTTATTTTACGCTTAATATTCAGCTAAATCATATAGCACTGTAAATAATCGAGACTTGGCCAGGCAGTCCAGTGGTTGATAGCATGAGCAACGATCCACATCACCGGAGTACCACCAACCAGGTCACCATCCATCCTAAGTAGTCGGTACTTATCACGAGAATGGGATTTGGGGGAGCTATTTTTACCCGGAAATCCCAAGGATGCAGTACAGAGGTAGTAACAATGTGCCACGTTATCATGTCCATTTTCTATCACAGGGTGAACAGACAAACCGCGCGGACACGGACCATAAAGGACGTGACGTTCCCAAGGGGAAGCAGCGTCTACATCCCCATCTTCCACATCCACAGGGACCCTGCCATCTACCCAGACCCGGAGACATTCAACCCGAACAGGTAATTCCACGACTGTCGTCATTCCAGTTTGTTCTTCAGGCTGTGCGTTTCTTTGTCTCTTTATTCTTCAAGTGCGTTAACCATGGTTTAATAACGACTCTTCTCGGGCAACGATGAATGGGATCTTTTAAAGATAAAAAAAACATTTTTATATGGTTATAAAAGTTTTATTCTCTCACTCGAACTCGTTTGACTCATAATATAAACAAGTACGTGAGTATACTAAAATTAGTGAAATAGACCGAAATATCCAAATAGGACCAGGCCTATTTTTTTTCTTCCATGTTTCTATTGTTCATCATCTTTAAAAAAATGGCATCATCTTTAAGACCCGTGAAGATCCGGGGTAAAATAGGTCTTCAGCAAGCCATGCTTGCCGTAAAAGGCGACTATGCTTGTCGTAAGAGGCGACTAACGGGATCGTGAAGTCAGGCTCGCTGACTTGGTTGATGCATGTTATCGTATCCCAATTGCGTGGATCGATGCTCATGATGTCAGTCACTGGATTGTCTGGTCCAGACTCGATAACTTACAGACCGCCGTCATATAGCTGGAATATTGCTGAGTGCGGCGTTGAACAACAAACATTTCAAGACTTCAGTAACTGCCAGTACACAGTCACCATTCCAATCATACTGAAACACAGTTGTAGTAATGCTTTCAATGTACTCGCTTGTCAAAAAAGGTCTCCTGGAGTACCCCCAATAAGAGGATTGTCGACATTTGTTAGAATTCATTTTGTATGTAATTTGGTGTTTTCTGTCCCACATGCATTGTACTGTTTGGGTATTTTCCAGATGGTCTGAACACACGGAGAGACACCCGATGGCGTACATTCCGTTTGGAGCTGGTCCAAGGGTTTGCGTGGGGATGAAACTGGCGGTGTTCGAACTGAAAGTGGCAATAATCAAAGTCCTGAGGGCGGTCAAGTTCAGCACGACGAAGAACACTCAGGTATTCGCAAATTTTTACACTTTCACCCCGTACTTCACAAATCTGGTAATTTCATAACTACATATTTGATCTGTAGCAATCTCATTAAAATCAGATCTTAGTTCTCGCTGTCGCTAAACAAAGATCTGAGGGCATCCCATTAAGGGTCACGTCAGAACGACCTTTCATCCAACCAATCAGAGCGTCGCTTACCAGATCATGAAAGTCACAGTCGGAATGTGTTTTCTAATCATGCAACCACGAAATATGTAACACGGGGTATTCCGAACGACATTTACGGGTTGTATGGTTATATCCATACTATCTAGGCCATATATAAGCCATTCCAGAATATTCTTCTTATCAGTTTTAATTTTTTTTAATCGAGAATACGTCAAAATATGTTTCGAAGGGTAGTCGACAGTTTGAAACTAGTGTCGTAAAGCTCGAGAAAGCTGCCTTCTGATTGGCTAATGTCGATTTCTTGTCGGTCATTTCATTGGTCGGTCAAAATTCGCGAAAGGTCGTTCTGACGTGACCCGTAATGGGATGTCCTCAGATCTTTGTTTAGCCACAGCGAGAACTAAGGTCTGATTTTAATGAGATTGGATCTGTAGTATAGATCAACTACAAAGTCTGCGTTGTATTCTCATCTCTTTTTCGAGACCCGTGTGTTTCTTCCGCATCCATATAAGTATTAAAAAGTCAACAAAAGTATCTTGAAGTCATCGTTGTCGGTGCCTCGATTTCAAATTATCAGGAATTAGGTGCAGTAAGACTTGATATTATGTCTTCTTTTTTTGCTTGCTTTTTTAATTATTTCTTTGCAGTTTGCAAAGTTGTCTTGATGTCACTGTCCTTTCTGGCACTAGGTGTTTATTCTTATCTCATGATCTGTTGTAACGGTATCGTTATAGTCAGAAGTTCTGGGATATTTCGACACGCAAATCACACATTCTCTCTCATGGAAAAGAGTTCTGCTTCCTTTTCAGGAAAAAATCATCTTCACCAACAGTAGTTTCTTGACACCAAAGACGCCAATAAGACTAAAAGTGGAAAAGCGGTAGATCAGTGAAGGTTATCATGTGAGTGTGTTTGGGGATATGTAATGTTCCATAACATACAAGCGGTATAACCTCTGTATCATACGTCATTCTAAATCGAAAAAAGTACTCTCATCTCACACAAATGGTACCTAAATTTTGCCAGTTTTCCTGGAATCTGCGCATGAATAAATCATGTCACAAGGTTATTGATTAGTAAGCCGGACAGTGAGTGAGTTGGGTTTGACGCCGCTTTTAACAGTATTCCAGTTATATCACGGCGTGTCAGCTTAATGTGTGAGGAAAGCCCGAAGTGATGCAGGTTTCAGACGTTTACCACTTCGGTGAAACCCACGAGCACGGGTATGGTGCTGACAAACCTTGAAACATAATTGTGGCGAACCGGGATTCGAACCCACAATCATAGGTTTCTGGCGTGCCCAAGGGACGCAACTCTTCACAGCGAATCGCGGCGCCTTAGTGGACTGGGCCACCCGTGCCCCCAGTAAGCCGGACAGTAGCATGCAATAAAGTTCCAAATGAAACTTGTTTGTCATGGGGTTTTATAAACACTGACTTAGGGTAACTTATTTAAATGGCATTTAGAAGTTGATGTGATGACCAATGTAGATAGTTCAATGTATATACAACTTCTTTCTTACAATGACTGCGACATTTCGGTGTAGATACTAACACCGTTATCACTCAAGTGATGAACAGAAATGTGAAGTACTTGGTAGGAAGGCAATATGCATGTGGATAATTGATGTTAACACAAGGTAATGTTTACACAACATAAGGTTACAGTATAAGGCCTGAGTGATATCGACAACACATTTGTCATCCAAAACCAAGATGATGATCCAAAAATCAAACATAATATACATACGATACTGTCTACCAATGAACTAGTCCATATCAGTCAGTCTTGTTTCACACAATTCTTGCCTTGTGAATCCTATATATGTACAGCTATTATACTTTAACCTTATGTGTTGCGTAAATATTGCCGTGTATAAATATCAATTATCCACATGTATATAGCCTTCTAACTTCACATTAATGTTTCCCACGTGTTTAAATGAAGTTTTTTTCAGAAATATAATGATTACCTGTAATAAAAATTAAATGGTTTGTTTTGTGGAAATTAACCAAACCTCATTTTTGGGGTTAATAGTGAAAATGAAAGATTGTTTGATCGTGCTCAGTAAATATATAGTTTGTTGAATACAGCTTGGAACAAAAAGGATTGTGTTCTTGTAGCTTAATGTGTTCAAATAAAACATTGTCCTCAATGATGTTGTTTTCAAACGCTGCAGTCAGCAATATTTAAGCTACTACTACTCAGCATTTGTTTGGGACCAAGATAGTCATCTTTGGTCAATGCTGAGGTCCTTATCAATGTTGAATAGGATATATCATAGCGGTCTAAATATCGATTCTGGACTAGTGATTGATATTACGAGCAACGTTCCACATCGTTGGACTACGTGTGCACAACCAAGCAAGGTACCGATCTATCAATTTGCCACCTCTTACGATAAACAAAGGTTACTGGGAACCAATTTTACCCAGGAATCCCAGGGGGAACTGTACTGAAAACACGTAAGATGAATGAACATTTGCTGCGTCTTATCAGCATGATGTTACTTCGCAGCAGTGGTTTTAGGTGAGGTGAAATGGGGTTTAACCCTCATGGTGCCTGGCCGTCAGCTGGCTTTGTATACTGCTGGGTGTCCCAGTTTTAAAAACGTATACACTGGTTAAAAGTGTTACGTTCTTTTTTCTGCACACAATGTTAACACATTGTATAACATTCAACCAGCGGGTTAACGCGTTAGACTACATTGTTTTTATAGTCGTCACATCACGACCTGCAAGCTTAATGTTGAAGGAAGTCCTGAAGGGACGAATGTATAACAGGTATTAATATTGACAGACTTCGATGAAACTACATATCAAGACCAAGTTTATAATTACGCGATAAGAGTGAGTGAGTGAGTGAGTTGAGTATGGTTTTACGCCGCTTTTAGCAATATTCCAGCAATATCACGGCGGGGGAAACCAGAAATGGGCTTCACACGTTGTACCCATGTCGGGAATCGAACCCGGGTCTTCGGCGTGACGAGCGAACGCTTTAACCACTAGGCTACCCGACCGCCCCTACGCGATAAGATATGAAGCAATAATTCCGTAAACGCACCTTTCCACCCCATTCACTATTGTTAATCAATAATCCAATACAACAGTGTGATACTGATAGGATCTTACAATAACTTCAAAACACAATCAATACACAAGAAACGTACAGACTCCACATTTATTTGCATGTAGACATGGAATATTTACAACCTGTGATTAACAAATATCTTTGGTACCTTCCACTTAATAATAAGACTCAGGCAAGTTTTATCTCTCTTTCGAAAACATCTGGTAAACTTTTAATATTGTTAAACTACATACGTTAACAAGTAATTGACTACGACTACAAAATCTTTTTATTTGACCAAGAAACAAAATTTGAAGAACACTCCTAATGCCCATAAGGACCTGGCAAGCTGGAGATGTGGTCCGCTTCACCAACACAGTTACTTCCAGTATTACGCCTACTGCAATCTCATTGAAAGCACATCCATGTGTTCACTACTGCAACACAAAGCTTCGCGGTAGTGATCACCAGGATCTGATTCTAATGACATCGAGGTAACTGAGTCACTGGGGTATGAGCACCTTCACCTGGTCCCTTGTATCAGTAAATGCGAGCGAATGTTGGGTGATGCCACAATCACAAATATTTCAGATATATCACGGCGCCCTGTAAAGAATTGGACCAGGCAAACCAGTGACTGAAAGCATGAGCACCAATCCAGGCACCATAAAGAATCAGTCACGTCAGAGAGCTTGAACACCCAATGTAACCGACTCTTAGAACAATCAGAAGTTACTTGGGACAAAATTCTATCCCAGAAAATGAAAAAAAGAAAAAGAAACCCCTCATCAAATGACTGTATTTCAACTACCAGGGCTGAATTTATCAGGTTCAATGGGTTTTTTAAACTTTTGTAGTGCATTGTCATTTACTGTTGATGTTTGCATGTATGTGTGCATACATCACTTAATATGACACCATGTCAAACTTGGAAAAAGAAACTGATGTTTTTTAAACAAATGGGACAAAAATGTGTTTTTTTTGCGACATCTGCATATTCTTTCTATGTCTATTTCTTGGTCTACATTTTACCGTTACAAATGATCTATTTGCGGATATTCATCAGATATTTATCGGGGATGTAAATGGTTCACAGAGTGTTAAGAAGATTGTAACAATGTCATTTTCCATGGAGACACAAAGCAAGCCAGCCAGCCAGTATCAGCCATGAATGTAAAGAGCCCGTCTAAAAGCAGGGGTAAGATACGTCAGTGTGTGCTATGCACCTAAAGGCATCACATGAAATACCAGGACACGATAATTCCAAACAGTAATGTACTTAATAATACTGTTAAAATTGAACAGCCTTATCACATGTGCTGTGAACGGGTTCAATACCTAGACTAGATATGTTGGGAGTCAATATTGCTGGTGGAGTCGCAGATGTGAATCATATTTCCTACCTTGAGACATCTTAAACTGGCAGTGCAACATTGGTGAGAAATTATGACTCGGGAGTAATTCATACATTTTAACAGAAAGGCTACAAAACAAATATTGAGAGAATATAACTGTTACTCCTTGACCTGGCGAACCAATACTGGCAAACCTATAGTAGCAGCTTGATCACAAGTTGTAAAAAATGCCACAATCACTTTGAACATCATGTCATTTCTATGAGTGAGTGAGTGAGTGAGTGAGTTGGGTTTTACGCTACTTTTAAACAATATTCCAGTTATATCACGGCGTGTAAGCTTAATGTGGGAGGAAAGCCCGAAGTGATGCAGGTCTCAGACGTTTACCACTTCGGTGAAACCAACGAGCACAGGTATGGTGCTGACAAACCTAGGACATAATCGGGGCGCACCAAGATTCGAACCCACAATCTGGCGTGCCCAAGGGACGCAACTCTGCACAGCGAATCGCGACGCCTTAGACGACTTGGCCATCCATGCCCCCGAATTTTCTATGAACAATACAATAGTGATAAAAGTTACAAAACTATTGTTGTTGTCTTTCTCCATGCATGCATGTCATTACAAAACGTGAGATAAATAGAAGTGACAACCCTAAACATTCGATGCTCGATAATTTGAAACATAGAACTGAATTGTCATGTTCAGTTTACCATTACATACAAGTGTATTCATATACCTTAGGCCACACTTATTCAATCTTATGTTTCATGGATTTATTCCAGCTATTCCACACAAGGTCGGTTAAAAAAAAGTATATAAAAATAAAATGTCAATCATTTATATATTTACATGAAAGTGATTCTGCCATGGAGTTAAAACAAAACTGCAGATGGCCTCTTGAATCACTGATAGTTATCTAGACACTTAATGTATATACAAGTATAACGTTTTGTAGTGAGACACATAATAAAAATAAATATTTTTATGTTTAATTTATTTCTTAGACTGGCTGCTTTTCAGTAGCGGCGCAGGTCCATGAAATTAAAAATAAAAATGTTTGGCCTTATGGTATATTTTGGAGTCATTTTCTGTTGTCATTAATCACATGCAAAACTCAAAGCAGCCCAGTTACAATCACACAATTTCTTTTCCAGTAAAACTTTGACATTTTAATGACTCCAGCCTTGATATGACCTTGACCATTGACTCGGAAGTGACATGGACCTTTGACTGAAATGCCACTTCATGAAGAGAATGCATACAAGTACCAAACCATGTTTTACACAATCTTAACAGAGAACAGGAGAACCTCTCACTGAAATGGACCAAATCATTTGCACCAAGACTCCATCCTGGAGAAGTAATTCAGTAAACTTAGTGATAAAAGCACAAATACTTTTTGAGAAAGTTTAACCACAAGCATTTAAGGTCAGCAGGTTTTTTTGTTCACATTGAACTTTGATTTTCTCAGGACAAGACAATTCTCTGACTCCAAGCAGAAAAAAACTCTTTAATGTCGATGATCACAGTAGAGTTTACAACAGGAAAACCTCCGGAGCAATCCGCAATTGGCTAGCATGGATGTATTCTGCTTTTGTGTCCTCCCAATGCACAAGAAATTGCATTTATTGAATTTTAGCGGATTTCAAGGACTTTCAAGCATTGAATCCACGAAACAAAATATAGAATTTTTCTTTGAGTATCTGTAAACACAAGCACTTTACAAGTATCTTCTACCAAGTGTGAAATGTTCATGGCTAAACTCTTTTTCAGTTACTTTCAATGTCAATATTACAAGAAGGAAATCTTCAGTGGTAGGAGCTGAAAAACATATACATTTTGGTCATGTTTGGTGAGTGTCTCACATATACCGCTAAACAACAAGCAGTACTCATTTCACACCAGCTGTAACACAAGGCTGTCAGTTCCTTGTCACTTGACCGACAAACTGAAAACAACTTGTTTCAAACTCATGCACCCTCAGCCATAACAGTGGACCCTCAGGAATGAGTGTGGACCCTCAGGAATAAGTGTGGACCCTCAGGAACAAGTGTTGATCATGACAAAAACAATCAAGGTGTGATCTTTTTTACATATTCTTAGTTTAATTGACTGCTCTTTTAACCAAACATTTCAAACATGAATGCTACAACAATTGAGAAAATTTGCCCTATTAAGGAATATATCCTTATCATACAACAAATCAAACATCAATAATGAGTTAGTGTGTGAGTTGTGTTTAACGCCGCTTTGAACAGTATTTCAGTTATATCACGGCATGTCAGCTTAATGTGGAAGGAAAGCCCAAATTGACACAGGTCTTAGACGTTTACCACTGTGGTGAAACCCATAAGCACAGACATAGTGCTGACAAACCTAGAAACTGGGACTCGAACCCATGATCATAGGTTCCTGGTGTGCCCAAGGGACGCAACTCTGTGAAGCGCACCGGCACCTCAGACAACTGGGCCACCTAAACATCAACAGTGGCTGATCACATATTCAGAGGCTGTACAAAATTCAAAAGTTAGTTCCTTAGTGTTTAATTGTTGTTTTAAAAAATAATTACAGTACAACATTAAAAGTTGGCACTGTAATGAAATGCTTCAGTCATACACTGCATGCACCAGATCCATGTACCCTATATTATCACAGATATTCCCTATAGTGATATAATGCATTTTTGATCTTATGAAGACATTACCCTCGGTTTAATACAAAATGAGATAAGAGTAAAGTAGTATTTGTCTTCATGCCAGACCAAATCTTATCCCATAACAACCAAAATTAGTGATAAATCTACTAACACATGAGGAAGGTGTAAGCCTTCATTTTACAGCTCGATACCACTGGCCAAGTCATTGTTCCAAGATTGGCTAGCATGTCAAATTGATCAAAGCAATCTCGTCAGGGTCAATTATAGGCAAATGTCCACCCCTCACCTGGGAGGAACAAACATACAGAGATAATGATGTAAAAAATACTGTCATTATAATTTCCTTCAAACCACAAATTATAAATTGTTTTCAACTATGGCACATACATGTATTAGGGCTGTGCTGTCAGGAAAAAGGGCCTGGCCAAAATATACGAACTTCATAAAAAGTTTCCCGTAAAACATAACTGTCTATTTTCCAAGAATAGTGTTAGAGTAACTTAAAGAGTAAAAATTAGCCTGTATTCTCAATAATTAACCATTGTGTATTACCCTCATGATGCTAATACATCATTAAAGTAGTTTTCAATCTTGGTGACAACTAGGAACATTCACATGTCAAAGAGATGTGTATTTTCTAACCCATCAAAAATCAATTACACAGACAAGACTCAGTTTTCAAAACTGAACAAAATCACATCTTATTTCTGCAGTCTTATTTCTGCAGACGAAATATGAACACAGTATACAAATGACTGACTTTGAGAAGCAAAGACGACTTGAGAAAAGAATAAACACTGCTGTAGCCTCACACAAAACAACATTTGAAAATGGCTCTATTCAGGAATTCCCTTGTGGAGTTGATAACACTGTCATCACTTATGACTTACTTACTTACTTACTTACTTAGGTTAATTGTATGACAATGAATTCATTTTGGAGTGTAAAGATGTCACATGGCACAATGAATAACAATCTGTCGGGTTTCAGAATTTTAGAAAAATATAACTGATAATGTTAAGTTTAAACTAAACTATCATGTGAAATATAAAACATCACACAGACATATTGACCTCAACTGTTAAAGAAAGGTGTGCATATGTGTGTTGGTCATTTATATTTAATGCTATACTTAGCAATATTCCATTTATATGAGCAGCCTGAACAAGACAATCCAGGGGGTGATATCATGAGCAACGATTGGGGTATGATGACATAATACCTATCACATCACCAATCCTCACCACAGATCAAGTAAGTCGCTTCTACGACTAGAGAGAGTACAGAATGGAGATTACCTGATGGTGCCTTCCCGGGGCATGCAAGGTGAGATATGTTTGTTTGCTTGTTTGTTTGTTTGTGAGATAAGAAACATATCCAAATACCATCATTTCACTTTTTGGGTTTTTTTCATTTTCATTAACTGATTCAGTACACAGTACTACCATCATAGTGACTGCATTACATTCAGAGATACATATATACAACTTCATTTGCCGCTTGTAAAAAAGGTTGACCGTAGCAGTGATCAGTGACGTTTCGAAAAACCGCGGTTTACCGAATCTATAGGAATCCCCTGAACCGAATCAATAAATAGAGACTTTAGGGAAGTTCTGGATAAAGCCTGGATGGCAACTCTGAAATGCTGCACACACTGATGAAAGCTCATACATGACATAGCACGTTCCGATAGTGAAATGCACGAGATGCTGATGACTGGTGATGTGATGAACAATGATCTACGATGTGACGGTGTCATGAGGTCTTCTTCTTGTACTCAGCGAATGCCTGTTTCAGTAGGGACACCACATCACTTGTATCCTCTTCATTCTCACCTAAATAGGAAACAACAGTACAGAGATGGTGGCATGTCGTCCATCATTAATAAACGATGAATCATCATTATTTTTTAGTTTTGTTTGTTGTTTAAAGCCGCACTCATCAATATTCCAGCTATATGACGGATTAATGATATTCACGTCATATCACAGCATGTCAGCTTAATGTGGGAGAAAAAACGAAAATGATGCACAGCTCAGACATTTACCACTTTGGTGAAACCCGAAAGTACATGTAAGATGCCCACAAACCTAGAAACATAATCGGGGCCACCAAGGATTTGAACCCACAATGATAGGTTTCTGGCGTGCCCAACGGACACAACTTTGCGCAACAAACTGCGGTGACTTAGACAACACGTGCCCCCTACACAGGTCTTTGTGAAACCCACTACGAGCATAGGTAGGTTACTGACAAACCAAAGATCAAATTCAGGGCAAAACTTGGGATTCGAAACAACAAGAGCATCCTAGCATAGGTGAGTGGGCGACTCATCTCTGCACAGTGGATAACTCACAGAGTAACATACAAGCCACAAAGAATTATAGATTATCTTTCCTGAATGAATAAATTTTGGAAGCCCAGAGCTTTGGCTTTGACTTACAACTACTCCAACAATATCACTGCTGGGGACACCAGAAATGGGCTTCACACATTGTACCCATGTGGGAATCAAACCCAGGCTTTCGGCGTGACAAGTGAATGCTTTACCGACTAGGCTAGCCCACCTCCTTACTACTATGAAGAGGTCCAGCTTGTAGTTACCTTTATCTGACTTGGTGACGTCTCTCTCCAGCTTGAGTTTCTCCTGGGCACATCGGAACATGCCCTCCTCCACGGTGTCCCGACACAACAGGCGCACAATCTTCACGCTCCTGTAACGACAACATGGCTGTCCCATTTCTTTGTCTTTTCACTACCTATTCAATACCTGTGAAGATCTGGGGCAGAAAAGGGCTTCAGCAACCCATGCTTGCCGTAAAAGGCGACTATGCTTGTTGTAAAAGGTGACTAACAGGATCGGGTGGTCAGGCTGCTGACTTGGTTGATGCATGTCATCGATCCCAATTGCGTGGATCGATGTTCATGATGTAAATCACTGGATTGTCTGGTCCAGACTCGATTATTTACAGACCGCCGTCATATAGCTGGAATATTGCTGAGTGCGGCGTTAAACAACAAACAAACAAACAAAACAAATCTATTCACTACCGCAATAGACACAAATGAGTGACAAATTAGACATTATGCTCTTTTTCTGCTTCACCATCAACAAAATGGGCAAGAATAGATGAATCACAAGAAGGACAAAGTGTAAAACAGATACCCATTCCTGTAATTGATACAACCCTTAGAGCCAATGAAGTGAGTGAAATAATGAGTTTAAACTTCTTAAATACATTACAAAATGCACCTTTGGCTGTCCTAGATACAGTAGATGACTATTTTTCTGGGACAATTTATTGATTCACAGATGCCCAACAACATAACTGAGAATGGTGGCAGTGAGTCTCAATGAGACTTGACGGAAAAATTAGAAATGTGATTCCAAAAGAATCCTAATATTTCATTATACCATTATTATAATATACCATCTGAAACTACAGATAATAATGGTAAAAGAAGCTTTAATTTGTTTGTTTATTTGTTGTAAAAACCGCACACAGAAATATTCCAGTTTTATGACAGCGGTCAGCAAATGATCAAGACAAAAACAATCAAGTGATTGACATCATGAGCATCAATCCACGCAATCGGGAAACGATGACATGCATCAACCATGTCAGCAAGTCTGACTACCTGATCCCGTTAGTCGCCTCTTACGACAAGCATAGTTAACGGCAAGCATGGGTTGCTGAAGACCTATTCTACCCTGGAAGCTTTATATACTGCATCATGTTCATGATAACAAATCGTTAATTAATGAAAACAGAAAGAATCTAACAAATTTTTAAAGACTTTAAAATATTCATTTCATACACACACAAGTGAATCAATGACACATCTGTCCCTTAAACCACAATCTCTGACACCAAAGTCAATCAAAATGAAAAATACCAAAATGATAATAAAATATATTTATTTGTTTTAATGCTAGTTTCTTGTCCGGAAAAAGCAAACATGTTCTCCTCTCTTTGACTTGTGTCATTTTACCTCGTCTGTCCCAGCCTGTGACATCTATCCTCTGCCTGCTTGTCATTGTAAGGGTTAAAGTCTATATCGTGTAGTATAACCACGTTGGCTGCCGTCAGGTTGATGCCCAGTCCGCCCGCCCGTGTTGACAGCAGGAACACCATGATCTCAGGGTCGTTGTTAAACTCGTCTATCAACTTTTGTCTGCAAGTCCAATCCATATGACAACTTGTGAAATCATCCCTATCAATCATCTACCAAGTGAAACCTAGTTACATATCGAGTTCAAGATTTGAGATTGATTGCAGAGATGCCAACCCAAAGTGAGCTGAAACAAGAGTCATCAAGAGATGACGTACAGCCCCCGTCTGCTGCAATTCAAAAATGGAGTATTTCTGTTACACCACACAGTGTCAGCTTCATGTTAGAGGAAAAGCCTGAAGTCTTGATCATCTTAGACATTTACCACTTTGGTGAAACCCATGTGCAAAGGTATGGTGCTGACAAATTTGAAACATGATCAGGGTAAATCAGGGATTCAAACCCATTATCACAGGCTTCTGGCACACCAAACAAAGCTTGACGGTATAAGTCTGAGACGGTCTCAGTTAAACATCAAGTGGCAGATTTCAGTGACTGGTGTTAGGTTGCCCTCCACTGTGAAAGGTCTTCCCTCCCTCCCTCTCTATCAATAATCCACAAGGTTCCTCCACAGATTTCAGTGACTGGTGTTAGTTGCCCTCCACTGTGAAAGGTCTTCCCTCCTCCCTCTCTCTCTATCAATAATCCACAAGGTTCCCCCACAGATTTCAGTGACTGGTGTTAGGTTGCCCTCCACTGTGAAAGGTCTTCCCCCCCTCCCTCTCTCTCTATCAATAATCCACAAGGTTCCCCCACAGATTTCAGTGACTGGTGTTAGTTGCCCTCCACTGTGAAAGGTCTTCCCCCCTCCCTCTCTCTCTATCAATAATCCACAAGGTTCCCCCACAGATTTCAGTGACTGGTGTTAGGTTGCCCTCCACTGTGAAAGGTCTTCCCTCCCTCCCTCTCTCTCCATCAATAATCCACAAGGTTCCCCAACGCCCATACTCAATTAAAATTGTCTTCCAATTTCACTGGTTATGACAAGACCCAGTTTGCCTTGAACATGGTGAACATCCAAAACGATCCTAAAGCATGACAGAGAATAGGAGGAAGAGTATAAGATAATCTCACCTCTCTGGAACTGGTGTACCTCCATCTAGTCTCAGGAACCGTATCCCCTTCTCCTTCAGGTAGGGCACCATGATGTCCAGCATCATCACAAACTGACTAAACAATAACACTCGGTCACCCTGCAAACACAAGTAGAGACTACTACTCACGAGTCACCAACTGGCATCTGACAGACACGAGTACAGTAATCTGTTCCTTCTACATACTAAAATCCCACCATTTTAGCATTGAAACGATGCATATTTTGTCTATTGTCATGATCACAGTTGTGAATTAATACATAACAAAACCATCGTTCGTGACGTCATTCGGCCTACTTCTTACCACCAAAACCTAGTGAGACCTCAACAAAAGAAGTTTTCCCCATATCTGTGGATTATCAAGGCGATGATGGTAACGCAAACTAGGCAAAACCAGAGAACATTTATTGACGCTCTGAATCCATGAAGTTTCGACACAGACGTATGTGAATCTGACCAAAGAACAAGTAACCTATCAATGAATTATAAACGGAAAAGTAGTCGCTCATAGTCAGGTCACCACAATGGAGAGGTAATCACAGACCTGGAATTCCATCTCACACATGTTTGATACCAGTTATCTCAAATGGGTTTCTCAACCATGGTAGGTAAGACACTCAGTCCACAAACACAGGCAGAAACTCAGTCCACAAACATAGACAGAAACTCAGTCCACAAACAGGCAGAAACTCAGTCCACAAACAGGCAGAAACTCAGTCCACAAACACAGGCAGAAACTCAGTCCACAAACACAGGCAGAAACTCAGACCACAAACACAGGCAGATACTCAGTCCACAAACACAGGCAGATACTCAGTCCACAAACACAGGCAGAAATTCAGTCCACAAACAGGCAGAAACTCAGTCCACAAACAGACAGAACACAGTCCACAAACACAGGCAGAAACTCAGTCCACAAACACAGGCAGATACTCAGTCCACAAACAGGCAGAAACTCAGTCCACAAACAGACAGAACACAGTCCACAAACACAGGCAGAAACTCAGTCCACAAACACAGGCAGATACTCAGTCCACAAACACAGGCAGATACTCAGTCCACAAACACAGGCAGAAACTCAGTCCACAAACAGACAGAAACACAGTCCACAAACACAGGCAGAAACTCAGTCCACAAACACAGGCAGAAACTCAGTCCACAAACACAGGCAGATACTCAGTCCACAAACACAGGCAGATACTCAGTCCACAAACACAGGCAGAAACTCAACCCACAAAAACAGCTTCAAAATAGTGAGTTTGGTTGAACATGGCCTTGAACAGATCTTAAGGCATGTCAGCTAATATGATTCCAAATTGATGCACGCTACACTTTAATGATTGGTTTGAATTCAATTTTAATTGATGCTGATAAACCAAAGACAAACAAATATTGCAGATTCTCCTGTGCCTATGGTTCATAGCTCTGCACAAAGATAATCCACCCACCCCACCCACCAGATTGGGGTTCGTTTGTTTGTATGTGTGTTGTTGAATGCGGCAATCAGCAACATTCCATCAATATTACACCTGTTTGTAAATAATCAAGTCTGGACCAGGTAATCCAGCATTCGATATGGTAAGCAACAACCCAGGCTGTCAGGGTACGAAGACACACTATTAACCAAGTCATTAAATCTGAACACCTGTTCTATTTGGTCACCTCTAAAAAAAATCTCAGGACCAGCATAGGTTGCTGCAGACCAAATCTAACCCGAAATCTCCATGGGGACCAACCACCCACAAGAATAGACCTACACCTTGAATCATGTGATCTCCTAAAATAACCAAATCCATGGCTTTTATTATGTATCACGAAATATGTCATTAAACTATGAATAAGGGAGGCTACTGGCTAAAGATGTACTGTTACCTGATTCTCATACTTCTCCAGCAGGTCATCCAGCATCCGGAACTTCCCAGACTCACTGATCAGATTGATGTCTAATGCAAAGGAACCTATATATTTCTGCAATGATAAATATTCCATATTGCAATATACCATCTGGTGTATAATCACACTGAAGCATAACACCATACCATATCATACCATGCCATAGTAACTCATGCAAGAACAGGAATGTGTTTTTACTCAAAAACATGTGTCTCCCCTCATTTTTTGGTATACATTAGTTGAAGTTGTTGCTGACTGGAAAGATAATGTTTTCATTAACTGTAGAGATTTGGCGGGATACAAATGCTAGTTGTTTGAGACTTCGTCCAAATTGTTTCCATGGAAACACAACAAATTAAAAAAAATGAAAATAGCAAAAGGCACCAGTTCAGCTGATGAGTAATACATATGCCAAGTTTCATTGAAATACGTTTTTCAAGTTATGACCCTGAAACAAACACTAAACTAAACTTCTTTTCAGGGAAACGTAAAATATATAACTAAGGCACCTTTTCAGCTGATAAGTAATGCATATCCCAAGCATAAGAGGCATAACATTCCAAAAGTAACTAGATAGGGATTCTTAATAAGTATCAACAAAATTTTTAAACAGACATAATCAAAAGATAAGTGTATTCAGTGAAACCAACAGCCATGAATACAGCGCTATTAGACAAGGGTCATAATCAGGGTGAATCTGGAACTCAAAACCAGCAGATCCTGGCATGACTAAGGGATGCAACTCTGCACATGGATAAGCTCCTTAGATCCCAGGGTTTCCCTTCCCCTTCCAACTTGGCCATGCATATTATTTTAAGTGTGGCACAGAGCACTCATAAAAGATGCTGCAGGGTGCCCTTTGGAAAGTAAGTGTGCCAAACAAAAAGAATACTTTTGATACATCTTCTAACTTCGTGAATGTCATTACGCAAAGGCTAGATAATAAGCAGCGATATTTTAGAGAAATTGCTCCCTTACTCTTCCTTAAGATTGATAATATCCAACATTATTTTGTGCACCCTACAGTGCAATTAGCAGCTTCACACGTTCAAAATGTTCCATGTGTTTATCATGCTACAAAATGCTGCAGGCAAGAATATATATCGCCCTTTAACACTTGTCCACTTGTCAGATGAGATCCTCTAAATAAGCTATTTCCATGGTATCATGATCACTGCTGAGACGTGTATTCCCAAGCCTCACCTTGTATTGTTGACAGAGATTATTTATATCAAAGTCGTTCAGTACAGCCATGTCTTCCTGTATAAGGTGGGGCAGAGCTCCTCGGTCTCTGTGGGAGGGTTCCTGTAACAGAAACACCATGAGCATCATCAACACAAATTGTTTGTTGTTTAGCGCCGCACTCAGTACTATTCCAGATACATGATGGCAGCCTGTAAATAATCAACTATGGACCAGAAAAACCAAGGATTGATATAATGAGCAATGTTCTAATCTGCCAGGGTAAGATGACATATCATCAACCAAGTCACTGAATCTGACCACCTGATCCGATAACTTGCCTTCTTGGACAAACATAGACTGCTGGTGACCTATGCTACAAGACCCACCTTGGCAATCTGTTTGGACATGACTCTCTGCTTTGGTATGATACCCACCTTGGCAATCGGTTTGACATGGCTATAAGGAATGGTATGGTACCCACCTTGGCAAACTGTTAGGACATAGCTGTAAGTGATGGTATGATACCCACCTTGGCAATCTGTTTGGACATGGCTGTAAGTGATGGTATGGTGCCCACCTTGGCAAACTGTTTGGACATAGCTGTAAGTGATGGTATGATACCCACCTTGGCAATCTGTTTGGACACAGCTGTAAGTGATGGTATGATACCCACCTTGGCAATCTGTTTGGACATGGCTGTAAGTGATGGTATGGTGCCCACCTTGGCAAACTGTTTGGACATAGCTGTAAGTGATGGTATGATACCCACCTTGGCAATCTGTTTGGACATGGCTGTAAGTGATTGTATGGTACCCACCTTGGCAATCTGTTTGGACATGGCTATAAGCTATGGCATGGTACCCACCTTGGCAATCTGTTTGGACATGGCTATAAGCTTCTCGTCTGTGTAGTGGTTGCGCACCAGCAGTGGGTGGTTGGCCACCTTGCGGAGCTGCATGAACATGGACATGCCACCATTTGGACTGTCACTGTTGTCCATCTGGCGGGCGTATTGGCCAATCAGTGACTCATACAGCTCCTGCTGGTCGGGGATCATCGGACACCGGACTACCTCCTCTGTCTTGGCGGGCAGCTGCTTCAGAACCTGCACATAACACACAGTCCATCACCACAAGGTCCATCATAACATAAGGTCGTCATAATACACAGTCCATCATAATACAGCAGCGATAGATATCACCCAAGCAAGTCTACTAGCCTGAATTGTGATAACACATAGCAATACCATACTAAATGTTTGAATATTTTACAGTCCATCATAATACACAGTCATAAAGCAGCCAATCACAATACAGTCCATGAAAATAAGGTCAATCATAATACAGTCCATCATATTCAAAATGATTACAATACAGTCAACCATAATACAGTGCATAATAATACGGTCAATCACAACACAGTCCATCACAATACAGTCAATCACAATACAGTCCATCATAATACATTGCATAATAATACAGTCAATCACAACACAGTCCATCACAATACAGTCCATCACAATACAGTCAATCATAATACAGTGCATAATAATACAGTCAATCACAACACAGTCCATCATTATACAGGCCATCATAATACGGTCACTAATAAAACAGTGCATTATAATACAGTCAATCATAATACAGTGTATCATAATACGGTCAGTAATAAACCAGTGCATCATAATACAGTCAATCACAATACAGTCAATCATAATACAGTCCATCGCAATAGTCCATCATAATACAGTCCATCACAATGCAGTCAGTCACAATACAGTCCATCACAATACAGTCAATCATAATACAGTCAATCACAATGCAGTCAATCATAATACAGTCCATCGCAATGCAGTCCATCATAATACAGTGCATCATAATACAGTCCATCACAATGCAGTCCATCACAATGCAGTCAATCATAATACAGTCCATCGCAATCCAGTCAATCATAATACAGTCCATCACAATGCAGTCAGTCACAATACAGTCCATCACAATACAGTCAATCATAATACAGTCAATCACAATGCAGTCAATCATAATACAGTCCATCGCAATAGTCCATCATAAAACAGTCCATCACAATGCAGTCAGTCACAATACAGTCCATCACAATACAGTCAATCATAATACAGTCAATCACAATGCAGTCAATCATAATACAGTCCATCACAATGCAGTCCATCACAATGCAGTCAATCATAATACAGTCCATCGCAATCCAGTCAATCATAATACAGTCCATCACAATGCAGTCAATCATAACAGTCCCTCACAATCAATCAATCATCATGCAGTCAATCACAATACAGTCAATCAAATGCAGTGCATCTTAATACAGTCAATCACAATTCAGTCCATCACAACATAGTCAAACATAATACAGTCCATCACAATCCAGTCAAACATGATACAGTGAATCATAACACAGTCAATCATAATAATACACATATTTCGAACTGCATCAGATCAGATTATCACAATATATGACATCATAATATACATTAGACCATCATACATCAGACCATCACATTATGTATCACACGATCATATTATACAACTGATCGATCATCATATCATAATATACCACAGACCACTTCCGTGATCTAGTGGTAGAGTGTCTGCCTGGAGAGTAGAAGGTCCGGGGTTCGATCCACGGCCGCGTCATACCAAAAGGATGTTAAAGATGTTACCCTGCCTGGCACTTGGCATTAGGGGTTAAAACAAGGACAGGTCAGCTCGGAGTAAGTATACTGTATCTGAGTGGGGTATTCATGATTAAACTGCAGCATGGTATCTAAACAGGTTCCATGGTGATGACGGTGTCAACTAGACTGTTACAATCAGAGGTGTTTATTGTGATTTGAAACTGACTGACCAATCAGGACCAAGTACTATCAAATCATGTAACAACCTAAAAAACAACATACTTCACTTTTGAGTCTTCTCAGTAGAAAAGGCTTCATGATCCTCTTAGCTTGTGCTATTCTAGTTTTCTCGTAACGCCCCTGACTGTCATCTCTCTGCAAAACAACAAATGTCAGCAAACAGCCCTTACTTGTTATCTTATTGTTCAATTACAAAAAGCAACTGCATCACTAAGTGAAAATAAATTCATTTAGTTTTCGCAATAATCTCAAAAGAATTAGTTTGAAACAAAATCTACAGTACTAAAATAAAAATGTGTTGCCTCAGGAAATACAAGAAAACCATGTAATATGTTTAACTCTGATCTTTCACTTACACTGATCATAGCAAAAATCCTTTTCAATGGTTCTGTTTTTCCAATAAAGAGCTCTGGCATGACAAAACAGAGCAATGACATGAGTTCTACCAGGTTGTTCTGCAGTGGGGTTCCGGTCAGCAAGAGGCGGCGTTCAGCCTACAGGGAAAGAATACTTGATAGTGCATACAGTTCGAATGTTCTGTCATGTGTTTTAATATGTGAGTTTATAGATTCAACTGTTATGTACCAGATATCACTTTTCCTGGATCAAAAATGTGTTGTATCTGTCATTCACAACAGAAAAGAGTTATCTATCTGATCCAATTAAGTGGCAAATAGAAACCTCACAAGAAGAGACAATATGAGGTTTTGGATATCCCACTTTTGACACTAAACACCTGACACTGCCTGACATCAACATAAAATAGGTTTTCCTGAAATGCAATAATCAGCATGCTAAAGCGTACAGTGAAATAATGAGAAACCAATGATATAAATATTTCCCAAGTAATACAGGGCTCAATTTAACTACATAAAATGTGCACGAGTACAATCTATTATTGAAAAATGCAACCTAATGTTTATGTCAACAAGCACCAAGTGCATGTCAAAAATGTTCAATCGTGTATGACTAACTCTTAATTGTCCACACACAAAATTTATCTTTGAACACACTTAATACCTCTAAAGAATATTTATCACTAATCCCTGTGTTATGTACAATTTGTCATACTTTCTTGGGCTTAACGTCATCAAAACTGGGTAATTCAAGATTATGTGCATGTGTTCCTATTAGGTATTACAATACATCAGCCTATGTTTCAACTTTGATAAATTTAAGAGAACAGGGTGCAACCTGATTTTGTCTGATGCAACCTTGTTTCGTCTGGTGCAACCTGGTTTTGCTTGTGCAACCTGGTTTCATCTGGTGCAACATGGTTTTGCTTGTGCAACATGGTTTTGTCTGGTGCAACATGGTTTTGCTTGTGCAACATGGTTTTGTCTGGTGCAACATGGTTTTGTCTGGTGAAACATGGTTTTGCTTGTGCAACATGGTTTTGTCTGGCGCAACATGGTTCTGTCTGGTGCAACCTGGTTTTGTCTGGTGCAACATCGTTTTGTCTGGTGCAACCTGGTTTGGTCTGGTGCAACATGATCTTGTTTAGCGCAACCTTGTTTCGTCTGATGCAACCTTGTTTTGTCTGATGCAACCTGGTTTTGTCTGGTGCAACCTGTTTTTTTCTGATGCAACCTGGTTTTGCTTGTGCAACATGGTTTTGTCTGGTGCAACCTGGTTTTGTCTGGTGTAACCTGGTTTTGTCTGGTGCAACATGGTTTTGCTTGTGCAACATGGTTTTGTCTGGTGCAACATGGTTTTGTCTGGTGCAACATGGTTTCGTCTGGTGCAACCTGGTTTTGTCTGATGCAAACTGGTTTTGTCTGATGCAACCTGGTTTCATCTGGTGCAACCTGGTTTTGTCTGGTGCAACCTGGTTTTGCTTGTGCAACATGGTTTTGTCTGGTGCAACATGGTTTTGTGTGGTGCAACATGGTTTAGCTTGTGCAACATGGTTTTGTCTGGTGCAACATGGTTTTGCTTGTGCAACATGGTTTTGTCTGGTGCAACATGGTTTTGCTTGTGCAACATGGTTTTGTCTGGTGCAACATGGTTTTGTCTGGTGCAACATGGTTTTGCTTGTGCAACATGGTTTTGTCTGGTGCAACCTGGTTTGGTCTGGTGCAGCATGATTTTGTTTAGCGCAACCTGGTTTTGTCTGGTGCAACATGGTTTTCATGTCAACAAGGTAAATCAAGTTCATTGATTTGAGCCCTGTAATGTAGTTTGTGTCAGTATTGATCCTGGGCTGCACTTGGACAGGGATAACCTAACCAGCAGTCTCTGCAGCACTATACACACCCTTATCTTCATCAGATTCTGGAAGCGTAGAGAGGCCATGTTCTTCAGCATGTGCCCTTCATCAAACACAGCGTAGTGGAAGTTACATTTCTTGAAGAGAGACCGGTCTTCCACCGACCCTGTGGCTATCGTGTACCTAGAGACAAGCAACACTCCGCTACACAAAACTGTTATGCTTAATGTTATGAACTATGAAGACATCATTGTCTGTGCAACAAGAGCATAACGATATATATCAAACTATCAGTGTACTGCATTTGTTTGCCCTACGATAGTACTACATGAATAGCGATAGTAATCTAAAAATGCCCATATCATTGATAGTATGAATAACAATCAATAGTTTGAATAGTTGCAATTAGTTATAAAGAAAATATATATAATATGTGAGTTACAAACATGCTGTGTGTGTTGGTTAGCAAGGGCTATGACAACTCCAGATAAGAGTTACTTCCCTTTGGTTCCAGCACAGAAGCCAGTCCCTGAGGGACGTATCTGTGACCGTAAAGCTTGTATAGCTAGATGTTACAAGCAGTGGTTGAGTATATTATTATTAAAGTCCTTTAAATGAAACTGTAACCACGTTATTTAAACACGCAACATTTGTTATGAAGCCCTGACCTACAGAAGCTGAGAAGAAATGTACTCTTCACAGCTCCTTGGACAAGGATCAAAGCCCTCAACATGCTCACGTAGCAGATAACTAGCAGAGAGTGAGTTAAATTTAAGTGAGTGAGTGAGTGAGTTTGGTTTTACGCCGCTTTTAGCAATATTCCAGCAATATCACGGCGGGGAACACCAGAAATGGGCTTCACACACTGTACCCATGTCGGGAATCGAACCCGGGTCTTCGGCGTGACGAGCGAACGCTTTAACCACTCGGCTACCCGACCGCCCCGAGTTAAATTTAATATTCACATCAGCACTTCAGCCATATCGTGACGACTGTCAAAGAGAAATAGACTTCCTCAACTTACGTTGTGAGTAAAACATTGAAGTTTCTCTTTCCATCCATGAGAATCCGATGCCGGACTATTCGGCGTTCATCCTGACTGCCATAGTACATGATGACCTTCATTGATGGGCACCAGTTCCTGGCCTCGCGTAACCAGTTATCTGAAACATCGCGTGTGAAGAGCCTTTTCATGTTTCAGGAATGATCATTCATTAACACACCCAGGCTAAGACGAAGTGAGTTGGGTCAACACTGTTTGAGTGAGTGAGTGAGTTTGGTTTAACGCATCTTTGAACACGTTATATCAGGGCGTGTCAGCTTAATGTGGAAGGTCTTAAAGTCAGAAGTAATGCAGATCTCAGGTGCTAACCATGTTGGTGAAACCCACGAGCACAGGTATGGTGCTGACAAACCTAGAAACATAATAGGGACGAACCATGATACAAACTCCAAGGTTTCTGGCTTGTCCAAGGGACAAGAACCATACAGACTGAATATTCTAGACAGTCACAATATTGATACTGTCCACCATCCCAATGAGTTGGGATTATCGCTGCTTTTAACAGTATTCTAGTCATATCTCAGCATCCAAGCTAAAAATGGGAGGAAACCCCAAGTGATGCAGGTCTTAAAAGTCTACCACTTCAATGAAATCCATGAGCACGAGTATGGTGCTGACAAACCTAGAAACATAGCTGGGTGAAACTGGGATTCCAACCTAGGTGTCTGGCGTTCCAAAGGGGTGCAACTCTGCACAGCTAACGGCGAATTGCGATGCCCCAGATGACTGGGCCACCACTTCCAAGCCAAGCAGGTAGTGACAGTACTTCAGTTATACCCCGGCATGTCAGCTCCATGTGAGAGGTAAGCCCACACTGACACATGTACATGTTTGTTTGTTGTTTAGTGCCGCACTCAGCAATGTTCCAGCCATATGATGGCGGTCTGTAAATAGTCGAGTCTGCACCAGACAATCCAGTGATTGACATCATGAGCATTCATCTTCGCCATTAGGATACAATGACATGCATCAACCAAGTCAGCGAGCCTGACCAACCGATCCCGTTAGTCGCCTCTTACATCAAGCAGAGTCGACTTTCACAGCAAGCATGTACATGTTTGCAAGCTTGCATGGTGAAACCCCATGAGCAGGATGACATCATAATATTCCTCGTGAAGTTAGAAAATGTAAAGTTTGTACCTCAAACCATATCAAAAATGAATATAACTTTTTGTTAATTTGTCCAGCTAATAGTCATCTATGGCAAAGTTACATAAAATCTAAATTTTACTTTTTTCCAAATATTCTGAAGTTAAGTACAATACTGTCATCACACGAGCATGTATAAACATCAATACAGCAAAGTACTTGTTTTATGCCAATGCTGTAAGAGCAGAAAGACTCCAACTTTGATAATATGAAATTATGTTAAAACAGCTATTGTTAAAAAAAAATTAAAATGTTGTATTTTATACTGTTTGCAACTAAATTGTGTTTCGTTTGTACAAATACGATGTATAATTGTAGAATTTTCCTATTCGGAATATTCTATAAGTAATACGTTACCACTGTTATACCGAGGCTGTTGTCTCCCACAACTGCTGCTATAGCGAAATCTACCACAGAGATCTCAATTACCTCATGCAGCACGTGCGTAGCCACCCAGCTGCCATGTGACACCCTTCACTCTTGTCTCCTGCGAGAGCAAGTGCTCGGGGGACGGACGGGCGGGCAGCAGCCCAGTGGTAACGTATTACTTATAGAATATTCCGAATAGGAAAATTCTACAAATTACATTAAGTAATACGTTACCACTGTTATACCGAGGCTGACTACCACAGTAGGCGGTGGGGAGCACCTACAACCCGAATCCTGACTGCTAGCGTTCCTTCCGACCAGCGGAAGTAAACACCAAGGCGGAAGCACTCGATGCGCATGCACCTAGCTAGGCGTTACCCTATAGGAATACCAAAGCACTGTCAAGCGCATACCGTAAGGCTCAATCGTCATTGCCAAAACGATTGGTGACTCCAAACGGCCCCACTGGATAGGTATTTCATCGCCGCAGCGGATGAGAACACTGTATCCGCGTGAGCTTAATCTTAGATCAGGTTAAACAGTCGAAAAGAGGGAAATTAATTTCATTCAGACCGTATATCCCAGAGCAAGCCTACTTAAAGTATGCATTAGGCGCGTGACCTAATTCCAGTATTTGTAAGCATGCATCACAAGGTTGGGATACACGACAGACAATTAAAGACATAATTGTCAAAATACAAATAAGGACAAAGCACACAAAAAGCCGCCCTCACCTGTGGTGTGAGTGCGCTGGTTTGCGGGACCCCAACTCCTGTACCCACGGCAGTGGGAACATTGGAGTCGACCCAGATTGACCACCGTGCAAGGTCAGACGCCTGAGGAGTTCGGAATTGCGCTGGGCACACCCCTTAGGTGCCCGCTTGCGCCGCGATCCGCGGGCCAAGACGGTGCACACTCTCCACGACGGCATCAGCGACCTGTTTGAGGTAATGATTGGCAAAAACCGAGTCAGAACGCCAGTAACAACCTCGTAATATTCTGCGAACAGAGATATTCGAGTGTAGGGCAAATGTTGCCGCTAGCGCCCTGATCTCGTGCGGGTTTGACCCCGCTACCGGTAACCCCCGAGACCGGTACGCCAGATTGATGACAGAACGAAGCCACAACGCAATCGAGTTGCGAGTTACGTCAACCGTGCGATTAGGGTTACACGATATGAACAGACGGTCACGCCCTTGTCTACGTTCATTCGAAGCCTTAAGATAATACTTAAGGGCCCTAACCGGACACAGCGCTCTGTCCTCAGTATCAGCAGGATGTAAGATTTCTTTGAGTGATCTTACAGTGAATTCTCTCTCCGTTTGCCCGACTCTCTGATTCTTGGCGACGAAGCCCATGAGCAGGCCCAGGCGGACCGCTCCTTCGCCACCCCTATCGAATCGTACCTTGGCGACATCGAGTGCATGAATTTCGGATACACGTGCCGCCGTGGCAAAGGAGAGGAGAAATGCTGTTTTCCAAGTCACATGCCGGAACGAAGCACTATGCAAGGGTTCATACGGAGCTTCCGTAAGTGATTGCAACACTAGGGAAAGATCCAAGGCCGGTGCCCGAAGGCGGCCCTTCTTAAGATCGTGCTGTTTGAAACCCTTGATAATACCCCGTATCACCGGCTCTTTGGAGAGACTGGTACCCATAGCAACGTCCCGTACCGTAGCAACGGACGAGACATAGTTGGCAATGGAACCCCCAGAGAGTTTCCGGGTCTCTCGCAAGTGAGACATGAAACGAGCAATATCCTGCACAGATACCTTATCTGGCGAATGAATGTGATGTTTACAACACCACTTCGTGAAAATAACCCAACGTGCATTATACACCTTCTGGGTAGAATCACGATGCATACTAACGTATGCCCGAGACGCCCGGCGAGAAAAAACTTTACTCCTCAGACGCTCGGTGACAACATCCACGCGTGCAGATTGAACTGCCCTGCGTTTGGATGAAGCTGACGGGTGTGAGGGTGGATCAAGAGATCCGGTCTCACAGGCAGTGGAAGTGGCGACTGCGTGACCTGGGTCAGCAAGTCGGGGTACCACGATCTGTTCGGCCACATGGGCGCGATCAGTAACATTCGACAGCGAACTCCTCGGAGCCGGCTTAGAATGTGTGGTATCAACGCTGTCGGCGGGTAAGCATAAGCGACCAAGCCCGTCCAGTCTAACGCGAGAGCATCGTGATCGATGGCCCTCGGGTCCGGGACTGGTGATACAAACAACGGGAGTTGATTGTTGAACCGCGTTGCGAACAGGTCGACCATCGGACGACCCAAACGTTCGCACAGCCACTGAAACACTACTGGGTTCAGCATCCACTCTGTGGGGCTCGGATCCTGAGGCCTCGATAGAGCATCGGCCAGTACGTTCCGCACACCTGGGATGTGACGGGCGCGTATCTGGCACGGGACACTGTCCACCAGAGCGTAAAACTCGAACGTGAGATCGAGTAGCAAGTGACTGTGGGTTCCCCCCAGTTTGTTCACATAGGACACTACCGTCGTGTTGTCGGTCGCCAGCATGAGCCGGGCGTCGACGAGACGATGCTTCCAGTGATTGACTGCGTTGATCACTGCCTTGAACTCGAGACAAGTGATGTGAAGACCTAGTTCGTCTACGCACCACAGCCCCGAGCTCACCTCCCCCTTTAGATGGGCGCCCCAGCCCACTAGAGAGGCGTCTGTATACAGGGTCAACGTGGCCCGGTAGGGCCGCATAGAGACTCCTGATAAGACAATGTAAGGGACTGTCCACCACTCCAGATGCGGTCGGAGCCGATCCGGGAGGGCGACGGTCGCACTGTTCACCTCCGTTGCTAACAACTGGATTAAAAACCGTTGCAGCGGGCGGAGTTGGAGACGACCCCGTGCGGTGCAGTCCTGGGCTGATACAAGTAGCCCTAACAGCTGTTCCCAAAAGTGAACAGTCTGTTGCACCGCTAAGACTTTGGCAATCAACGCCTGAATTTTGTGCCACCGGTCTGGGGGGACAAAGAGGCGATGGGACACCGTGTTGAACCGACCTCCGATGAACAGCAAGTTCTGAGAAGGGGTTAACTCGCTCTTGGGGAGATTGATCATCCACCCAAATTGCTCCAAGAGCCGACGTGCGAAAACGAGATGGCGTGACAGGGTGTCCGTCATTCGATTTGCTACTAGCGAGTCGTCCAGGTACGCGAAGTACCGGACACCCCTCCTGTGGAGGAACCCCACTATGGGGGTGGTTAACCGGGTGAACAGCCAGGGAGCGGACGTGTGAATCATTCTGAGTTCGGCACTGTCCTACTTGGGAACGAGAAATATCCTGGAGTAAAACCCCGGTGTTATTTCTGGTAGAGCTAACTCCCGTACTGCCCCTTCTCCACCAACCTGCCGATGGCATCGGCGAGGATGGGAAGATCGGTTTCCGAATCGAAACCTGCCAACGGGGCAACGGTGAGCGGCGGATTCGCTTTGAGATCAAGCCGATAGCCGTACCGAATCGTGTTGACCACCCACGGGTCGTCGAACACTTGTTCCCAATTCTCCCAGTAAGTCTGGAGTCTGGCTCCCACTGGGGAAGGAGAGGGGGCCCTGACAGGTTGCGGCAGGCGCAACTGTCCAGGGCCAAGTGACTCGGGTTCGCCTAAGGGCCAACCGAAGTTGGCGCTGTCGGCATACGAACCCCTCCAATGAGAGTCACCTGGAGGGGCCCTTGCCGTCCGTCGACGACTTGGGCTTCCCCCAGTTCCCCGTCTTCCCGCGAAAGGGCAGCTGATTGCCAATACCGGAGCCCTCAGGGCGGGGCTACTTCCCAGAGGAAGAAGAGCCCGACCCCTTAGACCTACCGGCCGCAGCAGCCTGGGGCGCGCTCCGGTTAGGAGCGGCACCCAGGCGCCTATGCAGGGACCCAACAAGAGCAAGTGTGTGCCGAGACTCCTCGGCAACGTACTCCAGGGAAGCATTTAAACTGAGCAGGCAGTTGTAAATGCGCTGGTCACGGTCCGTGGGAGAACCTTCGACCAGACGGGCCGCTGCAGCCAAGTAAGTGTCTCCGTGAGACATGGAGTGCCGAGCGAGGGCGTCCAGCTGGTGCAAGGTAGCTTGCGTTACCGTAGCAGCCGGTGGGGCACGGACACCCAACCGCTCAACATGGGCCTCCGCGGTAGGACCAGCCTCGGGAAAGGCAAGGTCATGTACCGGGAAGAAACCCTTTCTCCACGACATCGGAGGCAACGGGAGACCCCTACCGGAGGCCGCCGCGAAGGCGTTCTCCAAGGAAGGCTTGAAACCGCGCAGCAAGGTTGATGCGGGGAAAGCCATGTCGGAAGACTCATCGTATACCTCGGAGGAACCCACAGTCGTGGATTCCCCGCGGTACCGGCCGGCATGTCCTCAAAGAGGTCATAAACCATGGCCACGCGGTCCTAAACCGATAGCGGGAGCAACGGTTCGGGGGAAGGACCGGTGACCACGGGAGCCGCCGCCGTACCGGTGGACCCCGCGTCCGACCCCGCGGCCACCGAAGTGGCCGGGGACGGAACAGCCAGCGGCCTATCCTGAGATAAGGCCGCCAGCTTGGAGTCCACAAGTTATGCAAGTAATGCAGCGACGGAATCCCCGGACAGCACACGGGCCGCCAAGAGATCCGCCGCTTTACCGGTGGACCCCGCGTCCGACCCCGCGGCCACCGAAGAGGCCGGGGACGGAACAGCCAGCGGCCTATCTTGCGATAAGGCCGCCAGCTTGGAGACCACAAGTTTCGACAACAATGCGGCGACGGAATCCCCAGACAGCCCGAGGGCCGCAAGGGGATCCGCCGCAGCCGAGGAGGTGGTACCCGCACGGGGACCCCGACCGGACGAACCGGCCACCACAGGGGTGGAGACGGACTGTACGTACAGCCGGTACCGCTCAAACTCCGCAGGCCCCAGACCTTCGCACAGGATGCACCGGGTGTCCCCGCAAGGAACCCTGCACCGCGGGCAACGATCGTGGGGATCCCGGGACGACAAAAACTTTCTGCACACCCCACAACTCCGAGGAGCAGGGGTAGAGGGGGTGGATACTGGGGACATATCCATGTCAGACATTGATTGTTTGCTATAAACAAAGAACAAAACATGGTTACAACGCACGCACCACAATGATTCACAAACGAACATTTTCACAAGAAAATAAACGAGCAATGTGAACATATAACATACACATATAACTTTTATTAAAGAAATAAGTGATGTTAACCCCCAAAACATACAAGAACAGGGGAAACGTAAAACACAACGTGCATAGTATATAGAAAAAAGGGCGGGAAAATTATAACCAAGCGTAGCTACCGCAACGCCCCATAAAAGCACAGTTTATTAGAGAATAAACTATAATAAATATCACCAAATCTTCAAGGAACGCTTCAGCAGGAGAAAACACGTGCTGCATGAGGTAATTGAGATCTCTGTGGTAGATTTCGCTATAGCAGCAGTTGTGGGAGACAACAGCCTCGGTATAACAGTGGTAACGTATTACTTAATGTAATTATATTGATAATCAGGCTGAATCAAGGATTCAACTAGGGGAATCCTGCCACTGATCAAGGATGAACATCAGGTGTGCATCAGATGACTAGGACACCTCTATATCAGGTGAGTAAATATCTGTGTTCACTTCATTATATGCGTGGACTGCTATCTGTATCTCACCTATTGTTGATGAAGGTACGATGATGACATGGGGTCCAGTGTCACCCTGCTCTATGAGATGGGTGAGGAATGCAATAGCCTGAATGGTCTTCCCTAAACCCTGCAAGTACAAACACATTCTATAACATCCCTGTTACCTGTTGAAATCTAATCACTGAATCATCAGTTTGGCCAAGAGTGGCAGGATGAGGCAGGATGAGGAACTTAGAATCAAAAGTCGTTCCAAGCAAAGTTGATAATACTGGATACTATAATATCATAAATAGTGCATCTGATATTCATCTGATTTTTTAAATGTCTTTGCTTTACATCTACAGTTTTATTCTAGAAATTATAGGATGATTTCTTTTATCTGTTTATACTGAGGATCAACATGCATGAATAATTTCAACCATGATTATAAGCATGATGAAGACAAATCAAATATCTTTCCCAATTTTACCCACAATCTTTCAGTGACACTTTGAGGTGAGGTGAAATGGGGTTTAACGTCGCGTCCAAGATTATTGCACTTACATAGCGACGTGCATGCACGTGTATGTGTGTGTGTGGCTGCTTGTACTAGTCCGGACTGATGCCGATTTATAGTGCTAGCACACTGAGATACCATGCCGCAGTTTAAATTTCTCTTTTTCCAAATATTCTGAAGTTAAGTACAATACTGTCATCACACGAGCATATTATAAACATCAATACAGCAAAGTACTTCTTTTATGCCAATGCTGTAAGAGCAGAAAGACTCCAACTTTCGTTTCGTTTCGTTTGTACAAATACACAGTATACTGACTCCGAGCCGACCAGTCCTTGTTTTAGCCCCTTAATGCCGAGCGCCAGACAGGGTAACAACAAGTACCATCTTTTAACGTCTTTTGGTATGACGAGGCTGGGGATCGAACCCCGGACCTTCCGCTCTCCGGGCGGACGATCTACCATTAGACCACGGAGGCGGTAGTGACACTTTGAAGTTGGATATGAATGAGACAATGGTATGGATTCACTTCAATCATATAACTGAAGCAGCATGTAGATTCTAACACTGTTATCAACATGATCAAGCATGGGCTACAACATGTACACCTGGTTCATAGAAAGTATTAGAATCTACATCAAAACATCTCAAGTTCAATCAGCATGGTCAAGACAAAGTAAATATTAGGTAATATCTCCTAAAGGAGTATTCTCTCACCATTTCATCAGCAAGGATCCCATTCAGTTCTTGAGAATGCATGATACGTAGCCAGTTCAGTCCGATCATCTGATATGGCTTCAGTTCAAACCTGAAAACATTCATTGTCATGGCAACCAAATCACTTTGGAAAGTTGGCAGATCATCACGTATCTTTACCAGATGCCAGCTGATGTTTAGCATTCCAAAAACCACACAACTCAAATTCAGAGCTGTGATAAATACTTCAATCCCCCCCTTCCGCCTGGTCTACACATTCGCTTGATACCAACGTGAATCAGGACAAGTGTGGGGCGCATGGATCTTTTATAACCAAGACCAACAGGACAAGCTAACACAACTGTGCACAGAAACTTCCTTCACCTCAGACAAACAGGCCCCTAATGTCGCTCAGTGAGTGAGTGAGTGAGTGAGTGAGTGAGTGAGAGGGTGAGTGAGTGAGTGAGTGAGTGAGCGAGTTGGGTTTAATGTCGCTTTTAACTGTATTCCAGTTATATCATTGTGTGTCAGCTCGATGTGGGAGGAAAGAACAAAGTGACAAAGGCCTCATAATTTACCACGCGCGTGCATGAGTTGGGTTTATTTAACAGTATTCCAGTTATATCATTGTGTGTCAGCTCGATGTGGGAGGAAAGCACAAAGTGACAAGGGTCTCCGGTGAATCCTACAGGCATGGCTATGGTGCCGACAAACCTAGAAACAAAGTTCAGTCACGGCAACAGAGAACCAGCAACAATTTATCACTGCTGGCACAAGACCATCATCCCAAGACTTACGTTTTACTGAGGAGATCTGGCTGTTTGGTGATTCTGTCCGTCTCGACCCCGGTGGCAGAAGGGTCGGTCAAGCTGGACACAACAGACTCCATCTCCTCCGCAATCTTCTCACATCTCTTCATCAGTTTTGTGACGATAGTTCGGACATGGATGGTCTCCTTGCAGCCACTGATCAGGTTGTAGGACAGGGACTTGGTCGACTCAAACTTCTGCACCTGTAGGCCATACAATCCTTCCTTTTATTCCTTGCATCACCATCTTCTACACAATGTGTCCAAGTAATTCTACCCAAATACTCTTTTCCTATTACAGAGCAACCTTGCTTATTTGGACCCTGTGAATTCATTCATGCTTACCGTCAGGTAGGTTTAAAGTTACTGGATATTACTGGCCCAGTTTTAAAAGAGGACAGAGAATGAGGTCAGCTTTTACTCACTTTTCTAAATTATTTAGCAGATACACAAGTAACAGAGTAACAACAGAAACCTGCCACTGATTATTTATCTACAATGCTTTAAAATAACTTTAAAAGAAATATCATTATATTTTGTTTGTTTACTTGTTTGTTGTTTGATGCGGCACTCAGCAATAGTCCAGCCATACAACCGTAGCATGTAACAACTCTTACAATGACATTTGGGGCCTGTTTTGCCCCAATTCCAGAAAAAGCATCTCTTGAGATAACTGATATGTTACTGGCATACCAGACTGTCCCAGCTGCTGAATGGCCGTTGTGTGACGATCAGTTCCGCCTTCTTCCGGGAACATCCCGGGACAGTCGTCAGCTCTTCCACTGTGGCCTCCTCGAAGAATGACAGGATCATCTCAGTCTGGCCCATTGCTTCCTCCTCCTCCTGCAACAACAGACAGTCATGTCAAAGTGGACAATCATGTCAAAGTGGACAGTCATGTCAAAGTGGACAATCATGTCAAAGTGGACAATCAGGTGGACAGTCATGTCAAAGTGGACAGTCATGTGGACAGTCATGTCAAAGTGGACAATCATGTCAAAGTGGACAGTCATGTCAAAGTGGACAATCATGTCAAAGTGGACAGTCATGTCAAAGTGGACAATCAGGTGGACAGTCATGTCAAAGTGGACAATCATGTCAAAGTGGACAGTCATGTCAAAGTGGACAGTCATGTCAAAGTGGACAGTCATGTCAAAGTGGACAATCAGGTGGACAGTCATGTCAAAGTGGACAGTCATGTCAAAGTGGACAATCAGGTGGACAGTCATGTCAAAGTGGACAATCAGGTGGACAGTCATGTCAAAGTGGACAATCAGGTGGACAGTCATGTCAAAGTGGACAATCAAGTGGACAGTCATGTCAAAGTGGACAGTCATGTCAAAGTGGACAGTCATGTCAAAGTGGACAATCAGGTGGACAGTCATGTCAAAGTGGACAATCAGGTGGACAGTCATGTCAAAGTGGACAATCAGGTGGACAGTCATGTCAAAGTGGACAATCAAGTGGACAGTCATGTCAAAGTGGACAGTCATGTCAAAGTGGACAATCAGGTGGACAGTCATGTCAAAGTGGACAATCAGGTGGACAGTCATGTCAAAGTGGACAATCAGGTGGACAGTCATGTCAAAGTGGACAGTCATGTCAAAGTGGACAGTCATGTCAAAGTGGACAGTCATGTCAAAGTGGACAGTCAGGTGGACAGTCATGTCAAAGTGGACAGTCATGTCAAAGTGGACAGTCATGTCAAAGTGGACAATCAGGTGGACAGTCATGTCAAAGTGGAAAATCAGGTGGACAGTCATGTCAAAGTGGAAAATCAGGTGGACAGTCATGTCAAAGTGGAAAATCAGGTGGACAGTCATGTCAAAGTGGACAATCAAGTGGACAGTCATGTCAAAGTGGACAGTCAAGTGGACAGTCATGTCAAAGTGGACAATCAGGTGGACAGTCATGTCAAAGTGGACAATCAGGTGGACAGTCATGTCAAAGTGGACAATCAGGTGGACAGTCATGTCAAAGTGGACAGTCATGTCAAAGTGGACAGTCATGTCAAAGTGGACAGTCATGTCAAAGTGGACAGTCAGGTGGACAGTCATGTCAAAGTGGACAGTCATGTCAAAGTGGACAGTCATGTCAAAGTGGACAATCAGGTGGACAGTCATGTCAAAGTGGAAAATCAGGTGGACAGTCATGTCAAAGTGGAAAATCAGGTGGACAGTCATGTCAAAGTGGAAAATCAGGTGGACAGTCATGTCAAAGTGGACAATCAAGTGGACAGTCATGTCAAAGTGGACAGTCAAGTGGACAGTCATGTCAAAGTGGACAATCAGGTGGACAGTCATGTCAAAGTGGACAATCAGGTGGACAGTCATGTCAAAGTGGACAATCAGGTGGACAGTCATGTCAAAGTGGACAATCAAGTGGACAGTCATGTCAAAGTGGACAGTCAAGTGGACAGTCATGTCAAAGTGGACAGTCATGTCAAAGTGGACAATCAGGTGGAGAGTCATGTCAAAGTGGACAATCAGGTGGACAGTCATGTCAGAGTGGACAGTCATGTCAAAGTGGACAATCAAGTGGACAGTCATGTCAAAGTGGACAGTCATGTCAAAGTGGACAGTCAAGTGGACAGTCATGTCAAAGTGGACAGTCATGACAAAGTAGACAGTCATGTTAAAGTAGACAGTCATGTTAAAGTGGGGAGTCATGTGGAAAGTCATGTCAAAGTGGACAGTCCTGTTAAGTGGACAATCATGTCAAAGTGGACAATCAGGTGGACAGTCATGTCAAAGTGGACAATCAAGTGGACAGTCATGTCAAAGTGGACAGTCATGTCAAAGTGGACAGTCATGTCAAAGTGGACAATCAGGTAGACAGTCATGTCAAAGTGGACAATCATGTCAAAGTGGACAATCAGGTGGACAGTCATGTCCAAGTGGACAATCAGGTGGACAGTCATGTCAAAGTGGACAGTCATGTCAAAGTGGACAGTCATGTCAAAGTGGACAATCAGGTGGACAGTCATGTCAAAGTGGACAATCAGGTGGACAGTCATGTCAAAGTGGACAATCAGGTGGACAGTCATGTCAAAGTGGACAATCAAGTGGACAGTCATGTCAAAGTGGACAATCAAGTGGACAGTCATGTCAAAGTGGACAGTCATGTCAAAGTGGACAGTCCTGTTAAGTGGACAGTCATGTCAAAGTGGACAGTCATGTCAAAGTGGACAGTCATGTCAAAGTGGACAGTCCTGTTAAGTGGACAGTCATGACAAAGTAGACAGTCATGTCAAAGTAGACAGTCATGTCAAAGTGGACAGTCCTGTTAAGTGGACAGTCCTGTCAAAGTTAAAAGTCTTGTCAAAGTGCAAGTAGACGGTCATGTTTAAGTGGACAGCCCTGTCAAGTAAACAGTCACGTCAAAGTTGACAGTCATGCCAAAATAGACAGTCATGTTAAAGTAGACAGTCATGACAAAGTAGACAGTCATGTTAAAGTAGACAGTCATGTTAAAGTAGGGAGTCATGTTAAAGTAGACAGTCATGTTAAAGTGGGGAGTCATGTCAAAGTGGATAGTCATGTCAAAGTAGACAGTCATGTTTAAGTGGACAGTCATGTCAAAGTAGTCAGTCATGTCAAAATGGACAGTCATGTCAAAGTAGACAGTCATGACAAAGTAGACAGTCATGACAAAGTAGACAGTCATGTCAAAGTGGACAGTCATGACAAAGTAGACAGTCATGTCAAAGTAGACAGTCATGTCAAAGTAGACAGTCATGACAAAGTATACAGTCATGTCAAAGTAGACAGTCATGTGAAAATAGACTGTCATGACAAAGTGGACAGTCATGTTAAAGTGGACAGTCCTGTTAAAGTGGACACTCACTAAGTTAGCACAGAAATGCCTTTTCCGAATACAAGTTCAACAATACTCTCACGTTCTAAACTATGACGGCAAAGGGGTCCAGGGTATGTAGCATTATAGAATGGAGATCTTTTCCTGAATACACACCATGCTGTCATCACTGTCCCAGCCATCATCGAGATAATCATCGTCTTCATCTGACAGATCTTCCTCCCTTCTGGATACTGTAGGAAAAGAGCAACAGCAGATCTAAAGATAAATTGTCATGGTGACAGTTATTAACCATGTTGACACGCATCTTGTCAGTGAAACACTTATCTGGCAAGATATTTGAAATAACACACTCAAAAATATACATGTTGTGTCTCAAATCACTTGAATACAAACATGTAAAAAATTAGAGTTGCCATGCTAACAAATAATTTTCTTGGCTTCAGAAACTGATATAAATATGAATGTTTGTGATGCAAGTGTCATCAAAATTGTTAGGTTGGCTTGTTTAAAAAGCCTCTGTCTGCAGTACTTTACCAGTCCCCGCTGGATTCCGAGGTCGTGGCATATTTTGCAAAATTCCCACTTGGTGCAGAAATGTACTTATCTCGCAGAACATCACATTTTGTGCAGAACTCATGCCACAGAATTCATCAAATACACTCCAGAATTCTAACATGTTAGTTGAAAGCTGGTTATTAACTCGTGAACTGATACTTATTTCGTTATGATGTGGGGTTGACTTTGGTGTTACTGCTTACCGAAAGTGCACATCTGCACTAGTGATCTCCTGATTCACGTCAATAAGCTAGTCTAACCATGGATAAGTTTACCATAAAAATGACTGCCACAAGTCAAACAGGTGCAAAAAACTATGACATTCACGAAAAATCAGCTCCAAAGTTTTCAGAAATTTGATATTTTTGGCTGCAGAATACAGCAGGGAAAGCTTTACTGTCAAAAGGAGAACTAAATATCAGTTTCCATAGTGATTCAGACAGCTTTGCTGTTTTCATAACAGATATGTTACACTGATTTGGACCCGCTGATCAATCAACAATGATCAAACAAAAATCCATTATTAAACACGATGATAGAATAAAGATCAAACCTTTCTTTTTCTCTTTTTTCTTGGTTTTGGAATCATTCCCATTTTGCACTCCCGATGACAAAGCAAGCATGGCGTCTTCTGCAGACCAATTGTGGTCCTCAAGGGCTTTCAGTAACACCTGGATAAAAATCATCATGTCACATATAAAACTGAAATAACCATCGACATATGAAGGGGCCACTAAAGATATTCATTGAAACGCTCTACTTTGTCATAAAAAGGTTTGACTATACTGTTGAGGCTTTGATAGGCATTAGAACCTAGAAGAAGTTGAAACCATAATCAATAATTGCCATTTGGAATATTTTGGGAAGTACATCCATACGTCATTAGGCTTGTTGGGGAATCACTATAGGTGGCGACTATTACACCCATACGTCGTTAGGTATGTTGGGGAATCCCTACAAGTGGCGACTATTACACCCATACGTCATTAGGCTTGTTGGGGAATCATTACAGGGTGGCGACTATTACACCCATACCTCATTAGACCTGTTGGGGAATCCCTACAGGTGGCAACTATTACACCCATACCTCATTAGACCTGTTGGGGAATCCCTACAGGTGGTGACTAGTTCACCCATACCTCATTAGACCTGTTGGGGAATCCCTACAGGTGGCGACTAGTACACCCATACGTCATTAGGCTTGTTGGGGAATCACTTCAGGTGGTGACTAGTTCACCCATACGTCATTAGGCTTGTTGGGGAATCCCTACAGGTGACGACTAGTACACCCATACGTCATTAGGCTTGTTGGGGAATCCCTACAGGTGGCGACTATTACAACCATTCGTCATTAGGCTTGTTGGGGAATCCCTACAGGTGGCGACTAGTACACACATACGTCATTAGGCATGTTGGGGAATCCCTACAGGTGGCGACTATTACACCCATACGTCATTAGACCTGTTGGGGAATCCCTACAGGGTGCGGATTAGTACGCTCATACATCATTAGGCATGTTGGGGAATCCCTACAGGTGGTGACAAGTACACCCATACATCATTAGGCTTGTTGGGGAATCCCTACAGGTGGCGACTATTACACCCATACGTCATAAGGCTTGTTGGGGAATCACTACAGGTGGCGACAAGTACACACATACGTCATTAGGCTTGTTGGGTAATCCCCACAGGTGGCGACTAGTACACACATACGTCATTAGGCATGTTGGGGAATCCCTACAGGTGGCGACTAGTGCACCCATACGTCATAAGGCTTGTTGGGTAATCCCTACAGGTGGCGACAAGTACACACATACGTCATTAGGCTTGTTGGGTAATCCCTTCAGGTGGCGACTAGTACATACATACGTCATTAGGCATGTTGGGGAATCCCTACAGGTGGCGACTAGTACACCCATACGTCATTAGGCTTGTTGGGTAATCCCTACAGGTGGCGACAAGTACACACATACGTCATTAGGCTTGTTGGGTAATCCCTACAGGTGGCGACAAGTACACCCATACGTCATTAGGCATCTTGGGGTATCATCCCTACAGGTGGCGACTAGTACACACATACGTCATTAGGCTTGTTGGGTAATTCCTACAGGTGGCGACTATTACACCCATACGTCATTAGACCTGTTGGGTAATCCCTATAGGGTGGAGATCAGTACACCCATACGTCATTAGGGTTGTTGGGGAATTTCTACAGGTTGGTTACCAGTACACCCATACATCATTAGGCTTGTTGGGGAATCCCTAGAGGGTGGAGATCAGTACACCCATACGTCATTAGGCTTGTTGGGGAATTTCTACAGGGTGGTGACCAGTACACCCATACATCATTAGGCTTGTCTTGGAATCCCTAGAGGGTGGTGACCAGTACTCCAATACCTGTCATTTGGCTCGTGGAATTCCTACAGAGTACACCCAAACCTCATTAGACTTGTCGGGGAATTCCTACAGAATACACCATACCTCATAAGGCTTGTTCGGGAATTCCTACAGTGTACACTGTACCTCATTAGGCTTGTCGAGGAATTCCTACAGAATACACCGTACCTCATAAGGCCTGTCAGGGGAATTCCTACAGAATACACGGTACCTCATAAGGCTTGTCAGGGGAATTACTACAGAGTACACTGTACCTCATCAGGCTTGTCGGGGGAATTCCTACAGAGTACACTGTACCTCATTAGGCGTGTCGGGGAATTCCTACAGTGTACACTGTACCTCATTAGGCTTGTCAGGGGAATTCCTACAGAGTACACCATACCTCATTAGGCTTGTTGGGGGAATTCCTACAGAGTACACTGTACCTCATTAGGCTTGTTGGGGGAATTCCTACAGAGTACACTGTACCTCATTAGGCTTGTCGGGGGAATTCCTACAGAGTACACCGTACCTCATTAGGCTTGTCAGGGGAATTCCTACAGAGTACACCGTACCTCATAAGGCTTGTAGTTGTAGGGGGAATTCCTACAGAGTACATTGTACCTAATTAGACTTCTCGGGGAATTCATTCAGTGTACACCATACCTCATTAGACTTGTCGGGGAATACCTACAGAGTACACCATACCTCATTAGACTTGTCGGGGAATTCCTACAGAGTACACCGTACCTCATAAGGCTTGTTGGGGGAATTCCTACCGAGTACACCATACCTCATTAGACTTGTCGGGGAAGACCTACAGAGTACACCATACCTCATTAGGCTTGTCAGGGGAATTCCTACCGAGTACACCATACCTCATTAGACTTGTCAGGGAATTCCTACCGAGTACACCATACCTCATTAGACTTGTCAGGGAATTCCTACCGAGTACACCATACCTCATTAGACTTGTCGGGGAATACCTACAGAGTACACCATACCTCATTAGGCTTGTCGGGGGAATTCCTACAGAGTACACTGTACCTCATTAGGCTTGTCAGGGGAATTCCTACAGAGTACACCGTACCTCATTAGGCTTGTCAGGGGAATTCCTACAGAGTACACCGTACCTCATAAGGCTTGTAGTTGTAGGGGGAATTCCTACAGAGTACATTGTACCTAATTAGACTTCTCGGGGAATTCATTCAGTGTACACCATACCTCATTAGACTTGTCGGGGAATACCTACAGAGTACACCATACCTCATTAGACTTGTCGGGGAATACCTACAGAGTACACCATACCTCATTAGACTTGTCGGGGAATACCTACAGAGTACACCATACCTCATTAGACTTGTCGGGGGAATTCCTACAGTGTACACCATACCTCATTAGACTTGTCGGGGAATTCCTACAGAGTACACCATACCTCATTAGGCTTGTTGGGGGAATTCCTACAGAGTACACCATACCTCATTAGACTTGTCGGGGAATTCCTACAGAGTACACCATACCTCATTAGGCTTGTTGGGGGAATTCCTACAGAGTACACCATACCTCATTAGACTTGTCGGGGAATTCCTACAGAGTACACCATACCTCATTAGGCTTGTTGGGGGAATTCCTACAGAGTACACCGTACCTCATAAGGCTTGTAGTTGTAGGGGGAATTCCTACAGAGTACATTGTACCTAATTAGACTTGTCGGGGAATTCATTCAGTGTACACCATACCTCATTAGGCTTGTAGGGGGAATTCCTACAGAGTACACTGTACCTCATTAGACTTGTCGGGGAATTCCTACAGAGTACACCATACCTCATTAGACTTGTTGGGGGAATTCCTACAGAGTACACCATACCTCATTAGACTTGTCGGGGAATTCCTACAGAGTACACTGTACCTCATTAGGCTTGTTGGGGGAATTCCTACAGAGTACACCGTACCTCATTAGGCTTGTTGGGGGAATTCCTACAGAGTACACCGTACCTCATTAGGCTTGTTGGGGGAATTCCTACAGAGTACACCGTACCTCATTAGGCTTGTCGGGGAATGCCTCCAGTAATAGGCCAAGCCTCTGATCCTGTGTTTGTGAGTCGAGCTGAGTGGACTGGGAGCTGTTTGGAGATACAGTTTCTATACTGTCACTACTCTGCATTATACGGATACGCTTAAACTGGCGTCCTTCAAGAGGTGGGGAACTCTCCTCACAACTCCGCTTTCGTTTTCTGTCAACCAATTCTGAAAACATATGAAAAGGCATACAAGTAACAGTACACATGAAAATACCTCACAATTACTTGAAACAAAGTTCTTGTGATGAACAGCCAGATACCTCTTCGCAACATCCTGACTATCTAATAGTGATGGGTATTGGCCTTACAATTTTGGTATTGCAATTTATTGTAAAAATGATTCATCTATTGCGATATGTAAGATAGCTACACAAAAAATCATAAAGTACAATAAAGAACATAGCATGGTTTATTTCATGTAAAAAATCATTGATCCATCATGATGTCATTTCTGGAGATTTGAACATGCGACTGCGACTGGTACTGATTTTTTTTCAAAGACAGGAATCAAGCTGCTATTTATGGATTTCATAATTTCAGTTCAACTTGTCAGTCATGCAAACTTTGCCAACAAGATGAAAAAATGCATGATTTGAAAAAGCGCATTATACCAATACTGTGATACGTAGTCATTAGTCTTTCAAGTGAGTGAGTGAGTATGGTTTTACGGCGCTTTTAGCAATATTCCCGCAAAATCACGGTGGGGGACCCCAGAAATGGGCTTCACACATTGTACCCATGTCGGGAATCAACCCGGGTCTTTGGCGTGACAAGCAAACGCTTTTAACCACTATGCTACCCGACCGCCCCTCATTAGACTTCAAATCATGGTATACAGGAATAGTGGTTATACTGCACACCTATACTATCCGCCTTTGAATCATGCCAACAATGGCCAATGAAACATCACTCACGATATCATGAGATAACTGACATGGATCGGGGACTTGATTAATTGCATGCGACCACATCCAGTGATTGACATCATGAGCATCAATATATGCACTTGGGATATGATGATATGAATCACCCAATCCTGTTAAATGGCTCTAACAACAACCATAGTCGTCTCTTACGGCAAGCATGGGTTGCTGAAGACATACTCTCCACCTGGATCTTCACCAGGGGATGCTGAATTCAACCATATTTAATTTGACCCAGATTGGACAATGTAGAGTTTAAGTAGCTGGAATGCCCCTGGGATTGGCCATAACCCAAACAAACTCTCAGTTACCTACCCCTGTCAAACTTTCCATTCATTAGGGAGGTGACTATCTGGTCAACATTTCCATCAAACAGGTCCACAGCATCACCAAGCTGGCTACTGGCTCGGATGGGAAACATGCTCTTCAGGTGGTTGATCTTCTCAATGCGACTGCGTGTGTCTTCCTCTTTTGGCGAGTGTCTAGACACAGCAGGGGCAGCATCATCCGAGTCACTTTCAGACATAGCTTTGAGTCTCCGAAATCTGAAATGGGCAGCTCAGGATTAGAGAAAGGTAAACTGTCAATGATTTAGACAAATAGCTTATTATTGATGAATAGTTTTAACATGTTTAATGCACACACAGTTATTATTATTACATGAAAATGTAAATCACAACATGATATTAATATTCACAGGAGTAAAGATATTGCATTATGTTTATACAGCAACTTTTTCAACTTTAGCAAGTAATTGATAAACTCAGTGTAGTCTCAAAATAAAAATAAAAAACCCTGCAATCTGTAAAAACCGATGAGCTAATCTTTATCACAATATCACTTGAAGTTCAATGTGAAGGTCTAAAGTAAAATGCTGTAATCCTGTATCTCAATGACACGTACTAGCCTTAACTTAATAAACCGATAAATAGACTTAAATTAACCAAGCTTAGTGGACCAAAATAGATTTGACTAGACCCTGAGTTCAAACAAATGGCTTAAGATGCTGACTGCTTTTGTGACCATTAACTACAGACAGTAAGGCTGGGACTATACACCAACTGTGCAATCACAATATCCTGCTCACGATCCGATATGTATCACGATACTTACATGTGCTATTATTTGTGAAGTGTGTGGCATCCTTTTCATAGACAGGATGGCCAAATACCTGCCACGATTTACAGTGGGCAGGGTTTTTAGCCCCACAATTTGGCTGTCATCCCCTATACTGCAAACTTGACAAACTAAATTGTGTCATGATTGGATAATGCTTTGCCACTAAGCCAATCAAATGGTTGGCTCAGCTAAAGCACGAGAAGGGAGGTAACCTATACCAACTGTGTGTGCCAGTATTAATTATGGCCCATGAATGCAATAATGTTATATTTTCACTTCTATTTAGTGTTTTTTGGTGTAACAGTTATAAGAGTAAACATCTAAGATTTGGATGAATATTTTTTTACTGTGATGTAATCACAGAAAAATTTCAAGATTTTCTGAGGACTTCCTAGAATAATATGAATGTTTTTACTTGCACAAACGATATCTAATATGCAGGTCATATTAATGCACACATAACTTACTTTTTCAGTTTGTCTTTGCTAGAAGACCCATTGGCAATATGATTCTGTTTCCCCTGTTGTTTAGACAGCGATGTAGAGCTGCCTATGTCCTGAGACTCGTCTGATTCAACTGACAAGGGTCGAATCACTTTCCTTGACACAAACACAGGAGAAGTCGGACTACTTGGGAAGCTTGAACCTGCCATAGGAGATTCTGGTACGGTGGTTGTGCTTGGTGGACTGTACACATACTCTGTGGATTAGAAAAGCAAAGACAATCGATTAGAATCAAGCCCTGAAGGCTGTCTCAATGTACTCAGCTACAGACCCCAAATCAGCAATGTTCTAGCTATATGAGTGACATCCATCAATTGACATGCCATCACCACTGATCCACCAACAGTGACCAAGTCACCAAGCCTGACCACCCAGATCCATCAGGCTGCCTCTTATAATCATTGCTAGGACAGTCACGATATGGCTGAAATATTGCTGATGTGACTTAAAATTTTAACTCACTCACTCATTGCTAGGGACCAATTTTAACCCCAAATCTCCATCATTCAGTGATAGAAACTAACAGTTTTAGTCCACTAGTCCTTATAATGATAACATGTAGCAAAAACCTTAAAAAGGGCAAATTTCTACTAGTCCTTGTGACAACTATTGATCAGTTTGGCGAGGAATATAGCACTTGTTCCAATTACTAACATTGTCCATGGTTTCACAATTTAGAAACCTCTTGGGTACGGGGGGACATTCCCCCCTGTATCGGCACGGGGTGAATTACAACATAAACATAGTTACAAACATACCACAGAGACCTGTTGACACTGTTTACCCATTCCAGTTTCAGTCTGTCACTAGGGACATTACACTTGTACATTTAGAACAAAACAACAAATCTGTTTATTCCCAAACTTATCCTTTTTAATTCAATGAAAACACGGTTTTTAAAACCTATCTGGTACTTTCGACGTGTCCAAGAATTAATATGTTCAACACTGCTCGTCTTACCTGGATGTTTGTTCAACTGTGATATATAGAATTCAAAACAAATATGAGAAGAGAAAGAGCAAGATTCCATTAACAAACTATTTTCGACAATATTTCTCAAGATGGTATGTCAGGTAATGAAAACAAAGTCGAACCTTGCGTGCTTTCCTGAGATGCCGTTCTAGCAATTCCATTGTTGATTTCTTCATCTGCCGAATCGGAACCATTCGATTCTCCGCTGTGCGAAAGTCTGTTCTCCGGTTTCTTTACAAACCTATATTGCAATAAGGTGTTCACTTGTGCTGGTTTTCCGGCCATCTTGAATAAGTCAAACGGTGGAAGGAATTTTAGAACACAGAATGTTCACGAGATGACAGCCACCATGTTTTCATTCATCCATGAATCACAGTTCACGTTGCCCGTCAGACACACTCGGCTTCTGCAATGGCGGGAACACTTTGTGAAAGTGTCTTCAAGCTTAATGGTCCTTTGTTTGGGAAATTCTGAGACAATTATGTTTCAGATACGATTTTTATCAAAACTGTAAATTACTTCGAGCCGAAAAAGGACGTATTATTCTCCCTTTTGCCTCGATTTTCGCACTCTAATCAGAATAAAGATTACTAACCGGATATGTCTAAAGAGTAACAGAGGGGAGGTAATTCGGGTTGATTACGAAACGTTTCAAATCTTCCATTCTGTTTGTACCGGTTCGAAACCCAATTTCCCATGTATGTTTTTGTGTTTAAAAAAAATCATTCCTTATATCACAAATTATTTTCAGTACTTAATCTAAAGGTTTTGTTACCTCCGAATATATATCTTCCTGAAAACTTGAGGCGTCCATTGAGAATCTTTTGAATCATTTCACCTGTATTTGTGACGAAATTTGAATATTAGGCCTTTTTATCAGGATATGAGAATGATATTTGAGGACATTATCTTTTATATTGTTTATGGGAACGAATGTATTTGAAAACTATACATCATAACATTTATTATTAACATGATTTACAACAATTCATAAGTCAACACATGCAATTATGAGGATGTAAAATATGCATTAGCATAACTCACCCAATTGGTAGTGAACTGTTCATGTATGTTTACTGTTCTCTTCAACTGCACCTCTTCCGTGGTCTAATGGCAGAAAGGAAGGTCCGGGCTCCATCCCCGACCGCGTCATATCCAAAGATGGTACCTGTTGTTGCCATGCCTGGCGATCAGCATTAAGGGGTTAAAACAAGGACTGGTCGGATCGGAGTCAGTATAAAGGCTATAATATATTCTGAATCCTGAGTCTGTATTAGGAGTGGACCGTTTGGATAGGATATCAGTGGACCCTTTGTGTGTAATTCGCTAAACACATCGCAACGTCCATCGTGCAGAAGGCTTTTAACTCTTCCCGACCTAAGGGCAATTATCTTAAACGTTTTCCTGTAAAACCTCTTTCCAGGGTCAGTTGTCCAATCTCTTGGGAATTATTAGAATAATAATCGTTATTAGAATAAGTACCCAATATTCTACATGCTTGTCGTACACGGCGCCTCCATGGATTGGGTGTTCAGTCTCGGGGAGCGACTTGGAGGATTATGGCGCTAACTCGATTATATACAGGCCATCGTCGATGATCGATATAGCTGGAACATTTAACACAATTCGGGAGCTACAATATATATTAGAGGGATTGTTGTAACGGGTGGTTCGCGCGCGGAAGTTTGTTTGTGTGTTGTTTAACGCCGCACTGAGCAATATTCCAGCTATATGACGTCGGTCTGAAAATAGTCGAGTCCTGACTAGACAATCCAGTGATTGACATCCTGAGGATCGATCCACGCAATTGGGATACAATGACATGCATCAACCAAGTCAGTGAGCCTGACCACCCGATCCCGTTAGTCGCCTCTTACGACAAGCATAGTCGCCTTTTACGGCAAGCATGGGTTGCTGTCCAAGACCTATTCTACCCCGGTTCTTCACGGGTCGCGTACGGACGTACTCCTATTACGATCGCTATGTGTAGGTGAGGTGAAACGTCGCGTCCTAGATTATTGCACATATATAGCGACGTGCATGCACGTGTGTGTGTGGCTGTTTTTACTAGTCCGGACTGATGCCGATTTATAGTGCTAGCACACTGAGATACCATGCCGCAGTTTAACATGAATACCCCACCCAGACACAGTATACTGACTCTGGGCCGACCAGTCCTTGCTTTAGCCCTTTAATGCCGAGCGACAGACAGGGTAACAACAAGTACCATCTTTTAACGTCTTTTGGTATGACGCGGCCGGGGATCGAACCCCGGACCTTCCGCTCGGACGCTCTACCGGGCGGACGCTCTACCACTAGACCACGGAGGCGGTCTCGCTATGTGTAAGCAGGGCACTAACTTCATAGTATACAAGAAGGACCAGCGCAGTACCAGGGATCAAATCCATGAATTATTTAAGAGCAGTATTGTTTGCGTTCATGGAGGTATACACTTAAAAAACGGTGACACATATATTGTGTCAATCCGTTAACCGGTTGTCACGTTTATAACCCCTTCAACGCCATATTTAAGTCAGTTCTTATAAATAAACTAGTCAGTCAAACAACTAGTCAGTCATGTAGGGCCGGGACGAGTCCAAACTTACTACCCGGGTACCCGACACCCTATTACCCGGCCCTACCCGGATACCCACTGTAGGTCTCAAGAGTTGGGTACAACATATCCTCATGGGAATTGTTTTACCGCAGCCCTGGCAAAAACTATTTTGATACATGATCATGTATACACTGCAGTTGATAGACGCTTTATCCTTACTCGAACATATAAAAGTCAGAACGAATGCCTGCATTGTGGGAAAGAAATGTGAACATTATAGCTATACTATCTTGTAGTGTAACCATTGAGTTTTATTGTTATGTCATATTATTGTAAACATAATGTCACGTGACTAACCACGGGTCCGGGTAGTCATGTGGGTACCCGGGTCCTACTCAGGATCCACCCGTCCCGAGTACCCGAGTTACCCCTCCCAGCCCTACAGTCATGCCCTCAAATGTAATGAAAACAGCCCCAAAGGTTGGAGAAAATGGATCAACCAAACTGAAGGGTTTAACTAGGTACATGTATGTGTGAGACCCTCAGACTTGCGGAAATAAGTTAGAATTTCTCCAGTCATCACTTCCATCAATTCACATGTGTTCCAAGTTGTACACAAATAAATAAATAAATATAACACACATTTATTTATGACCCATGTACCTTACGTGGCTGTCTTTATCATTTTCTAAATGCACTCCAAATATTGATGGCGTTCCCTCTTAAATAATGCCATCAACGAATTCACGCCCTGCTATGGCTTTGTATGCACGAGATTTATACAATGCGGGTTAAACGAATGACACCTGTTTGTACGCGATAACATTAATAATTCTTATTTATTTATGAAAGAATGCAACGTAACGGGCAAACTGGAATAATATTTCATGTTTAGTCATACGACCACTGGTGACTTTGACCTTGAACAGAAGTTAGCGTACATTTAATGACCACTGTTAATATCATGTATGTCCAGTTCTTTAAAAAAACACACGAAACTATCAAAATGATTATTAACCATTTGCGATGCTTACTTTCTATCTATGTAGTGGCATTGGCTAGCCCATTATATTCCAGAATCCTCCCCAGAAAAAATATACGTATATTATACACTCATTTCTTTCACCCGTGTCTTTACTCCGATAATTCAGCGTTAATAATGAACCCTCCACACCCAAGCCTGACACACCGCACATTTCATATAGTCTTTACAGCTGGGGTACTTCTCAAATGTGTTTTAACAAATAGAGTTTTGATACAGGGAAATGACTCATATTTTTTTTGAATACATGTATTGTCTTCAATCTTCCTATCGTGACATCAAGGGACGCAACTGCTGAAATATCACTAGTCTGCATTGACTGCCTTTATCGGAGTATACATATATATTCTAGTGCGGTCGAAGGGTTATTCCCCTTCCTCTGGATGCATTCTTATTGATTCAGTCATTACACGTTATGTAACAGACTTGGTAGTTTTGTTAACTTCAACTTTTGCAAAAAAAATTGTTTAACGCCGCACTCAGCAATATTCCAGCTTTATGACAGCGGTCTGTAAATAATCGAGTCTGAACCAGACAATCCAGTGATCGATATCATGAGCATCGATCTCCGCAATTGGGATACGGTGACATGCATCAACCAAGTCAGCGAGCCTGACCATCCGATCCCGTTAGTCGCCTCTTACGACAAGCATAGTCGCCTTTTACGGCAAGCATGGGTTGCTGAAGACCTATTCTACCCCGGTTCTTCACGGGCATATCAGGCCTTAGAGGATCAGTGTGCACAACGATGTGGTCAGTAACTGTGTTGACTTTTTGAACAGTTTAGGATGATTTCGCATCACTTATAACAGAAGAGATGTCGACACCCTTCCATTTTCTCTATTTGATGTAGACGCCCAAGACGGCCGTCGAGAGCACGCTCTATTAAAGTGGTCAGACAGTCATAGTGAAAATCAGTATCAAGTCCAAAATATGCCTGTGTGTTGGTTGAATAACATGATGAATCGGATGTTTTGGAGAAGAAACTCAAAAGTTAAAATTGACACAGATAAGTAATTTTACGCCATAGTTGTCTTGTCTGTCTGTGACTGTTTGTTTGTTTGTTGTTTAACGCCGAACTCAGAATTATTCCAGCTATATGACGTCGGTCTGTAAATAATCGAGACCAGACAATCCAGTGATTGACATCATGAGCATCGATCCACGCAATTGGGATCGATGACATGCATCAACCAAGTCAGCGAGCCTGACCACCCGATCCTGTTAGTCGTCTCTTAAAAACTACGACAAGCATTGTTCCCTTTTAGGGCAAGCATGGGTTGCTGAAGACCTATTCTACCCCGGAATCTTCACGGGTCTGTCTGTGACTGAACTACATGAGGAATGTATCCAGTCGATTTGATTTGTGTTCAATAAACAGCGCTGTATCACTATGTCATTTGATTGCAAACATTGAGTTTTGCAAATAACATCTCAAATGGAGTTGGTTCAGTATGACATAGCTGAGAACAACACTCGATCGTCTCGCGGTATACAATAGTACAGCCACCTCCACTCTTGCCCGTCTCGATGCATGAGAAAGTCTATTGTTGATGCTAGTTACTTTGCTAATGGCTGATTGATCAATGTCACCTGGTCGAAGCTATGTTACAGTATAGCCAACACATCCAAGTTGTGATCATTGACATGATCACTAAGGGCTTGAAGCTTGTCAACGTGTTGACTGTGTACGTTTGTAAGTTACCACCATATGTAAAATTTTAACAAATGCTCTTCCTAAACATGAAATCGTCGTCATCAAGAATGATTTAATATCTGTACGAAATATTTGAGTGGATATTCGAAAAAAGAAAATCCAGGATTAAAGATCATTCGACCCCAGCTCATTTCTGTATTGATCAATGTTGAAATACATTACCGTTCTTTTTGTTGTTGAAATAAACCGTGCTTGACGCATTGTTGACGAGCGAATTCCCACATATCCTCATATAGATATCAATAATGAGGTATGTGGCTTGACACGACTTCCATAGTC